TGAAAACCTTAAAATGAAGTCATTTATAATATACTCATTATTATTAAGGTAAAACAAAAGAGATAATCTTTGATAAAAGAACAGGTGGAACTGATGACATGGGGAAAGAATGGCGGTTAAAATTAGCCTAATAATAAATAGAGCTAGGCGAGTAAGGCGCAGTCGTTTAGAGAGCTCTTAAATAAGCAGTAAGCCGACCATCACCCAACACGGCGTACTGCCGTCGACATTCCGACATACGCACGCCGGCAATTCGTCAAGCTTCTGCTCCTCGCGAAGAGGCTGAGTCACGCCTCGTGCACGCGTCTCAATAATAACGAATATCACTTGACATGAAATTTACATCTGCTAATGTTAAAATTACGTATCACGTTTTCACAATCAAGGTTTTACTCAACATAAAGAAAACACAAGCATTGGATTTGTGGACGCGCATATCAATCATCGAAGCAATCAGTGGTCAAATGCGCATTACATTACACCTACGGACGTTCCGTTTTCACAATTCTAAACTTTCATTCACTGTCGACATTGCAAACTTCCAAGCGCGCTTTATCGGCGTGGTTCATCTTAATGAGCACCATTATAGAATAAGTGGACGTCATAAGTGTCGTACTAGAGGCCATATTTTTACATATGTAACAGCCAGCGTAGGAGAGTAAAGACAAAAAGGCGTCTACGTATACGCGTAACAACAATCCGTCACGCTCATTACATGCCGAGATCGCACAGAGCCAAACAATTAAATAAACGAGAGGCACATTTGAACAAATTCGATTTTTTTTTTGTTTCACTCAATCTGAGTACATAAGCATTTATTATAATTATTTTTTAATTTTAGTTAGATGAGATTCCGCTAAATGACTAGCATGGTAGGTTTCATGGTAGAGGTCCGCGTTGGAGGAAATTAACTATTGTATCTATATTTATTTCGAAACATAACGTAATTAGCGAAGGCGATATCATTAGTGCTGTATTGGTATGTACATGCACATTTAATGAAAGTAAAGTCAAAATAATCTTTATTCAAATAGACTTCTTATAAGTACTTTTGAATCTAACATTTTTTCCCCTACCATTCGTTCAGGACGTCTTTTGGGTGATAAGAAGAACGAGCAAGAAACTCACCAGCTCTACTAGAAGTAATGATATTCACAAAAACCATGTCATTACCAGATCAATACATTATAAAGAGAAAAAAATGGTCTTATAATGATAACATAATAATTTAATTTTTGAGATATAATGAGTTTAGAAGAAATCACCTATCCCGTTGTTGGACCATCTTAAGTTCAAGCATTCTTATCTGTTATATAATCGGATACCTTATAGTAAACTTTTTTAATAAATATTTTTAATAGTAGATTTAAATTGCTTGATATCTAATTGTTTTATTTTACTTGGGACCTTATTGTAGACGCGCACACAAAGACCCCTGAATGAATTACTAACTTTTTGCAATCTAGTGACAGGCACCGTTGGTTTATTTTTATTTCTTGTATTAAAATTGTGTACATCACTTTTTATAGAAAACAAACTAATATTTTTACAAACGTACATTAAGTTTTAGTATTATGAAGCAACAGTCATTATGTCTATTTCCTTAAATTTCTCCCTTAAAGAGACCCTAATCCTAAGATCATAAATTGATCTATTCGCTTTTTTTCTGAATCACAAAAATCGTTTGTATGTCGGTAGCATTTTCCCGCAATAGGATTCTGTACGACATTACACTATGAAATTAACTGAAGTATATTAATCTGGCAGTAATTTTACTTAACCTACGTATCTTCATTACGGCATATGCTGTGGAGCTAAGTCTATTCGACAATTTATCAATAATGTTGGCAGTAGTTTAAAATCTAATGTTATTCCTAAAAATACTGTGGTATCCACAAGACCCATGTTCTTATTTTTTATATTCATATTTATATCTACTTTTTTTAAACATTAGGTAGTACAAATTTTAGGCATTTTGTTTTTCGTTCATTAAGGAGAAAATTATTTACATTAAACCAATGTACTACTTTAGCGATAGAATTGTTTACATCGTTATTTAGAGGTAGCCCTCTTTTTATTCAAAAGTCAATTCAAGTTCAATTTTAAACAAAAGTGAAGTGTCATCCACAAACAAAACTATTTCGTGATTAACCCTAACGAAATAAGTCAAGTCATTTATGTAAATTAAAAACAACAAAGGACCAAGTGTTGAGCCCTGTGGAACACCCATCTTAACTTTCGATCCAGGAGATTTTTTGCAATTGATATCAACGCTCTGCACTCTGTCAGTCGAGTATGAGACAGTAATATCCAACGAGTTATCTCTAAATCCATAATAATAAAGTTTCATCATCAATGTTTCATGAAAATCACAATCAAATGCCTTAGATAAGCCACAAAAAACACCTAATGCGTCCCAGGCATTAAAATTTTCTTGTATTAACTAGACACCGGCTTCGGCTTTTAAGCGACCCTTTGTAAAACCAAATTGTTGTCGATTCATAAGGTAAATTTCTGGTTATTTTTGTAAAAGTATGTTTGTATTTGATAGAGTATGCTTTTTTCAAAGATCTAACTAAACGTAGGTAGCACGGACATAGGTCTAAAGTCAGTAGGGTTAGATGTGCTACCCGATTTCTGTAAAGAAATAATTTTACTATATTTTATGAGCTCAGAAAAAATAACACAATCAGTACATTCTTTAAATATACTCGTATAAGCTATGATTGGAACTATTGTCTCAATTACAGATTTGGAAACGTCAATGGAATTACCCATAAATCAACAGCGGTTTTCTTTTTCTTTGGCTGATTAAACGATTTTAATGTATCTTTAAAATCAATGTTTTGAAACTTAAATTGGCTATTACAATTATTTAAATTAGCCTTTAAAATAGAATCAGCAACAAAGGAAGAGGAATTCAAAAATTGTGTAATTAAGACTGGAATTTCAGTAAATAAATTTTCAAATACTGTAGCAACTTCAAGATCTGATATTACTTTTTTATTAAAATTAGTATTCCAGGATTTTTCAGTTTCAGTATTTATGATATTCCTCATCATTTTAACTTTATCATTACTATTTTTAATTTTTGCATTTAAATAACATTTGGCTAAACGACACACTATTTTAAATAATTTAGAGTAATTTCGTACGTATTCTTTGAAGTCCTCACTTGTGTTATAATTACGTTAATCATATAATTCATAGAGCCTTTTTCTGTTTTTGTAGATTCCCGGTGTAGCCCATACACTAGAAGTTATAGAATTACTAATACTATTTTTTTGGGACAAAAATGTTATTGAATTCTGTGCAATAAACATAAAAGATATTGTTGCACAAATCTTTTGGATTACTTTTAAACAATGTAAATTGTGTCATTTGAAACATAAAAGTAAGCCAAATGATTTAAAACATTCCAAGCGACTCATACTGTTTGACACAACTGTGATGTCTCTCCTAACCACAAACGTGCATTTATGCGGAAAGCTAATTGTCAAAAATGATCTCACGAAAGTTGTTTAATTATCTGTTTTGAAAGTGGTATCAGTTCTGTAAAAATGTTGTCAATACGACGAAGTAGCAGTTACACTAGTGGGCTAATATTAATACAGAAAATATCAATGTTATTACAGTTCATGAAGAATTCTACTTTTAACTCCTTATTCAACATTCTTTGAACATTTTGGTGCACCACGTTGATGACTGATAAACTCTTGGTTCCATTATTACTTTGTCTATTCAATAGCAAACAAGAAGAATTCTGTATTGTCTTATTATCTAATTTAAATACGAATTTGTTGACATGTCAGTAGAAAAAAAGATAAACTATCTTAAGACCTTTTCAAATGTAAAAATATGTGTTTTTCCTTTTATCATATGTACCGTCACATTAATTAGTGATGATCTAAGAGAAGTATTAGATAATAATATTATTTTTATTGTTTGACAAGTTATTAAAGAGTTTCATGTAGCCAATGATCTCTTCAGCAACGACAAGGCTGTAGAAAGGTGATAACATGATCACGCCCATCGGCATTTAATAATTTGTTACAATATGGTAGCTCCGATACAGTCCTTTTTACTTAACATCGTTTATATTGACACGTAATTACAAAAATAAATGTTAGTTTGTAATTTTAGGTTCATTTAAAATATCAAATTATCTCTCACTGTTGTCAAATATTTCTATTGTTAGTACGTTTATGATATCTTCAAATGAAAAGCGTCAAAATACCTGTGTGTATCTGATAAAATTGATATTTATATATTATTGTGTTGGATTCTATTTGTACCCTAATCAATAAATATATCAATCTCACTCGGACTTGGTAAATTCGGCATTGGTCTCTGCTTGCGGTGATTCTGTGCCAGGTCGGCCCTGCCATCTTTTTTATATCGTCCGGCCATCTGACCTGTGGTCTGCCTACACTTGCGACTTCCTGTTCAGAGCCTAGAATGTGTAACGGTGCGTCGTACCACCGTTTATTTCGTCGTGCAAACTTTTTGTCTTTGAACTTTAACATCATTTATTTTTATTATACATTTTGTAATTTGAAATTTTAAGTAATCCAATATGCTCTTTATGAATTTCAGTTCGTGAAAATTCGTTGAGTTAGAAACATTAATTCCAATCAATAGCAATTTCTTGAAAAAATGTATACTACATCAAATCAAATATAATAAAGTTACTCACCAAACCTGAAGAAAAGGGTAAGGGTAGGGTATGTAATTGTTCTATTTTAATATTATCATTTTGGGTAACTGTGTATATTCCTTTTTTGTTTGTTACACAGTTTTTATTGTTACCCTTTATTAAATCGAGTTCTCAAGCTTACTTAGCCCTTTATTCATTTGCCTAAGCATCAAACCCGTCACTAATGTAAGGACTTTTGGCTCCATCTGTACAGCATACGTGTCCCGCCCATTTATATTTAAGTCTCGTTATCCTCTTGGCCGATAATGTTATCTTACGGATCTATGTCTACTGACCGACTGACCTGTACTTGGACTTGTGTGCAGCATCGAAGAGGTCCCCGCTGAAGTGTGCGGTGACAAGATAAGCGGGCGGCGAGGGCGGCGGCAGTGGCGGCGGCAGGGCCTCCGCCCCCGGCGCTACCGCCACCGCGCCCAGCCTCTCGCATGCCGCCCGTACCCGCTCCCACTCCAAGCAAGAATCGGTCACGTACACCACCGGCGTCGACGAGCCTGAACATAAAACATGTCATTGAGGTGAAATAGTAATGGGGTTGCGTGGGACGAATATTTATTTACAAATGTCTATAGACACAGCTTTCATTAGTTGACACATGATCTATATTTATATATCCTATGAAATGCAATTCAGGTTAAAAATAAAAATTTTAAGTAACAGGAATTCCAAAGAAGGATATTTAGAGTAGGTATCACGTAAGCGAATCACTCAACTCTAAACACGATTTGTCAGATTAAGACAAATTCATGTTGAAATGAAGCAGACACTGACTTGAAACACCCCCTTTGATCATTCAAATATTTGACTTGAAAAACAAGCAATCAACAAAATATATCTAATTGCTCCGAAAATCTGAATGCAACATTGCAAACATCGGTCATCGACATGGCTTACTTGGACATACCTTGTAATTTTCCAAAAATAACTATTGTTCAATATAAGAATCAGCGACAAGATATAATCATTACAACCTAGAGAGCTCACATTGTGTGAAACCCTGTGGTTATTATGATCAACAAATTATTGCTTATAAGTTTATTGTTATGTATAAAATTTACGATTTAAATTAGTAGTATTTATTTGAAATACTACATTAGAGTATTCTAAAGCATAAATGTGTTTAAATAAATTTAATTTGGTTTTGATTTTAGAATATATATATTTTTTGCCCGAAAGCTATAATCGACAGCGATGTATCAAAAGCGGCGAAGGAGCTGACGATACGGCTGAATTACAAGCCACTATTGACGTTAACATCAAAACAATTATGACTCATTAACGTCCAATTTGTAATGTGAAAAATTGTAACAAACAGATGCTACACTTAGAAACTAAATGATTTGACAGGGCGATGTACAGTTAGGCAAGCAAAGGCATAGGATTAAATACAATAATGGAGAAGCTCGTGAATCTCCAAACAATTTTGGTCAATCACACCATTACTCAGTGCTTCCAGATTCACTGTAATTTCTGTATTTTAGACTATTTTACTGTATTCTGTAATCATGAATGTATGTATGTATGAATATGCTGTATTTAATATTCAATGACTAAAATGCCCCAGGAGAGAAATAATTTCAAGGGTGACAGCAAAAAATTTTGAAAATCATGAGCAAATCATTATTAAGTAATTTACAATAACTAGTGATTATAAATAACTAACTAGCATATTTTTTCCCACCAAAAAGTGGATACGCATTTTTTTTTTTAGATCGTTGTTAGATTTTCATAAGAACAATATCATGTATGGCAAGAGAAAGATTTTCTGATAGTGCTGTTTTACTTATTACCGATGACACGGCTGGCACAGGTCTCAAAAAAAATTGTTGGTGTATCCACTTTCTGTGTTTCGATTTTATTGAAGATAAATATTTTTGGTATCATCTTTTCAGTCGTGTCTCTTTATTACGATTTTTTGCAGTCGGATTATTATTTTAAGATTGTTTTATTAGCTGACAACACTGTTATTATTGGAATCTGGATGCAATGCTATTACATCCTGTCAAGTATATAACAGACAGCGCCTGAGTGAGTCCTAAGATTGGAACACCAAGCACACAAACTTACTTTATAAGAATTTGAGAAACTTATTATTAGGAAAAAAAGGTAAATATCCGAGAAGCAACAGGAAACGTGAAGAGTTTATTGTAACCGCCAGCCGACTTCTTTGAGAAGCGTACATCGAAAGAATGGATTTATAAAAATAAAAAGATTATTACAAAACAGAAAGACATAAGTCGGGGGAAGCACTTCAAATTTTTCAGGAACAGTGCACAAAAAAAAATAGAAATTTATTCAAAAATCTGAAACTGCTATTTTTAAAGACAATCTTAGCGATATAACTTTTACAATTTTCACTACTCCTTGAGACAGTAGAGTAACCAGAGTTCAATTGGCATTGGGTGCTGAAGACCCACCTCGTAACGTTTTGTATGCGGTTCAGTGAATTAAAACACGTAATCATATCCATGACGATTTAATTTAAAGTCGACAAGTGACTGCGATTACCAAATCTAATATCAAAATACCTATCATCAATTTGGTACTGTATTGAGTATGGGCAAATTCGAGAGCAAAAACCTTTTTATGTGTATCTGAACATACGGACGCTTTGCAGTTGCTAGATATTACATATAATTTGTCGAAAAATCTTCGTGTAGAGTAGCGTCCTACAGAGTTTGGTGGAAGGCAGTCATTGTCTATCTCTGCGTCGTAAACTCTTGATTTAGAATAGAATAGAAGTACGTTTTATCTTCTGTCGTAACAGATATTCAGCCGCATTGAAAAAGCGAATACGCAGTTTTGGTTATTCCTTTCGAAGATTTGGCAACAAAAGTTAGGAAGAGGTCAAAACTGATTTCAGAGAATAAAGAAATCATAAATTACGAGACTAATAAATATATACAATTATCGACTCTGATATCTCAGAAAGAACCCAGAAACTTTCTGTATGACCTAAGCATAGCTATTAATCATTTGAATAACCTTATTTTATCCAGATAAATAACATAAGAGCAGCCGCCTCAAGTTCATCTTATCGCTAGTCATTGTCAAGTGGAATACGAACGATAAGACGGAAAACTACAACAAAATCATCTGTTTTGCTTTAATAACGTCAGCTGTATATTTCATTGCACACTTTAAACTCTGATGGATGAGGGAGCACACGTGGTTTGTGAATGGTTTCGTATTTGTTTGTATGTTACATTACATTATTTTATATACGATAGTATTTAAAGTCTTTCTGCTGTAACATTACACAATGGATTTTATTGCGATTTTCATCAATATACAGAGTGATTCGAGAAGTTTATAGGTTTATATGTCTCCTATAAATAAAGGTAGTATAAAGGTCAACGCGGGCGAAGCCGCTGACGCAAAACTAATTTACACTAAATTCATTACTTACTAGTAGCAACATATTTAAAACTTTCCCATTATGTCATTCCATTTCATACAATTAAAAAATATATGATTGACTTTCTCTCAAAATGTGTCACATTTTTATTGGTATGCCAGGGAAAAAAAGTGATGCTGTCACATTGAGAAAATTAGTCATATGTGACAGAAATAATGTATTTATGCGCTTAAAGCTGACACTAAAAATCTATAATAAAGTTATTATTGTATATGCTTTTATTGAGCATGAATAAAAGTATTTTTATAGCATAATTTTTACACAACATACGGTTGAGAGAGATCAATCAATCAATATGTAAAAGCCAAAATCGTTTGCGGAAATAATAATACTATCGAAAATCGGAAATAATATGGGTAGATCGTTTTTCCTAAAGCATCAACTGCTCACCTAGGATGGAAAGCCAAGATTTGATGGAAAATAAATTTTTATTGGCGACCTTTTGGGAACCCTTCATTCGTTGATGTTACAGGGTCGATGAGTCAGTATTGTGACACACACAGGTAACACCCGGTTCTCTTGGCATCTAACACTACTCTCACGGAATATTTCACGGCGTTATATTTCAAATAATTTCATAATCAAGCATTAGTAGAAACAAATAATGGAACGAAACTATTATAAATTATCAGGGCAATCAATTGTAATTATCAAAGCAAATATTCGCTATTAAAAACTAAAATCTTTAGGTAATAATAGTACCTATGTATACTCATAAAAGCATTTGTATATGTTTGGAATGAAAAAGATATCGTTAGCCATGCAAACTCTCAAGATAATGATAACAAAAAACGGGAAATAGATACAGTTGTTATTGACACGATGAAGTCAGCGGCAAGACAGTATCGATTGTATTTTTAAAACCAATAAATCACATCGATGTCATATTTCGCAAATCACTCGGCGAAGACCCGGTCCACTTAGTGACAAGGTCTTAAATCGTTCGATACGAATGCTAACGCCAACTAAAGTAATAAAAGCAATGCATGATAGATAATATTACCTAATTAATTGATTTAATTTGTCAATTCCATAATATAATAATTGTAATTGGTTTTTGAACTTAAAATTATATGTTACCATTCTAGAAAAAAAAACTTGGTTACCTACACGCTGGAGCTCTCAACTAAACTTTAATTGAAGCTGGATGGTACTATTTCATTGTGTTTAGACGTGTCTCACTTCCAAGACAGTTTGCATCCGTCTCATAAGATAAGACCCGAGTTTAAATATTCAACGTGTTCAAACTTTAAAGATATTATTTGAACAGCACAGATAATCTATATTATTGTTATGTATGCAATAATAACAAAGACACACGCAAACAATGAAGATTTTGAACGAATTTGTTTCATAGATTTATGAAATTAGTGATGGATTTATATTTCGTGATGGAGTATCACCACACCATGCCTTGGGGCCATGCGCACTCACATCCCCCAGCGAGGTATGACCGCAGTTGCTCTACCAACGCTAGCATAGTTGGCATGCGCGTCTTGTATCACGCGTTAGGCCATCTGCAACATCAACAACATCGTACAACCTTTCTCCAGAATACAGGAACTTGAACAATCGTAAAGTATCCAGAAATCCAATTGTACCCCGCACTGAAGTTTCATTTACTTTTACAATTAAATAAAAAAGGAGTTGTTCTATTAACATATTATGATCGAGGAGTATAATTGACGGTTCTTGTTTAATACAGGAAATCAAATCTTACAAAGAAATAGAAAAGCCTGCGATATTTTTTATTAGATGCTTTTCAAATTGTTTACACATTTGATATAATTTTAAGTTTCAAAAATGTGGTGGCAATATAAAATTAAAAATGGAAATGATTTTTTTAACACTAGTTATTACAGAAAGGCTCCCAACGAAAATCGGCAATGGAAATTAAAAATTAAGGAAATTATAATAGGTAAATAAATCATATTAGAACCAGGGAAGATTTTTGTTGAAGTCGGTAAATAACAAATATTATAGCTCTTATCAGCCAGTTGCACAAAGGTCCATTAAAGCGACATTACCCATACAAATTTGACATTCATTAGAGATTAAGGAGTCAGGAAACCCTAATAGACGTTTGTGCGTTTGTTTCTGACCATAAATCATACTAGGTCTAGAATTTCTCGACATTTTTGTCGTTGAATTGTGAACACTTTTCGTTCAGCGACATTAGTTTTCGTGAATTAATATTCTTTTGTAGTGAAGCCTAATACGATTTTAGTTACTTTAAAGTACTCACAATAAAAGTGATTGTTTTCGGAAATTGATGAAAGATCATTTCTGGTGATCCGAAGCACGCGTCTGTCATAATGAATGAATATACTCTTTCAGAGTATTACGCTTTTATGATTCACACGAAGAAGGAAAACCAAAACGATTCCAGCTCAGCACTAGACGGTCTTGTGATCAGCGCAGATCTTTCGTTGGGACCTATTTTGGTTTTGATAAGTACAAGCAGTAACACATTTTTTAAGTTTATAAAGATACACTTTTTATGTATTCGTCAAGAAAATATGTACGCATGTTTGAATATTAGAAGTCCCTCGAGACTAGTTATTCTGTAAACGTCACGAGTTACAAGGGTATTTGAAAAACAAAATTGTACTCTGTATTTGCATGTGATCTATTAGTTAATACTGGTTATGTCATACATATGTTGGACAACACAGGTCTCATTTATTTTTGTGAAAGAAAAAACTATAGATTAGTGTTGCTATAGTTACAGATATGAGTTACAAGACTTTTACCTTTTGATGAACAGGGCCCAGGTTTCGTAATTGCATTTCGATTTTTACTAGCATTATCCACTATTCTATGCATAGTATAAAACTATGTCGCTTCCCGCTGTCTATACGCCGAGACCTTTGAAACTTCACAACGTGAATCTAATGCGGTTAACATCAATAGACAAAGTGATTCAAGAGAATGGTTTATATGTATAACAAAAAAATGAAATAAATTTATAAAATCACCTAAAAGTTATAGAAGTGCCGTAACATCAGTAAATGCGATGATCACGTACAGTAACAGTTGCTGCTCTATTTGTTTTTTTTTTTATCCTGTAACTCGACCAACGTTTACTTTAACGATATCCAGATCTCTTTTATAATGAATTTATATTATATTTTTATAAAGCTACACAGGACACGAATATCAGTATCTCATGTCGGAAATCAAGACCCAGTTTGGGCGAACATTCATAGGCATGTGATCTAATCATTGGACTATTTTATTATAAAAATGCGTCGTTTTGATTTGTTTAAGGCATACATGAAACTTTACATTAATACAATAAATACTGACAAAATCATACCAAAATTATAGACAATATACGCATTAAAACTACCACTGCAAAAAAATATTACATTCCACTATGAGTAAACTGTTGATGAGAAAAAAAACATCAATGTTAAAGTTATACAATTTTTGTTTAATATAATAATTTTATTAAAATAAGTAGGTATCATGTTTCCTAGTTTATTTTATTTGCAATATATGGTTGGCGTAGCGACTTATACTTTGAAGTGACCATTACACAGTTCAGAAATAGTACATTAACAAGCACTCCTATTTTAATATTATATTCATTGTTTGTTCGATTGCACTACAAAACTACTGGACAGAGTTAAAAAAATCTTTCACCTACGGAAAGTTTCATCTTTTACGGGTAACATATGCTATAATTTACGCGGGCGAAGTCTCGATAGAACAGCTAGCTTCAGTAAATGACGATGATTCTCTTTATTATTCTTTCATTGACAATTGGCAGGGCACGGAAACTAGCTGAATTAATTAGCTCATAAGACTCTCCATATATATATTTTAGTCTTCAAATCAAATCAAATCAAAATTATTTATTCAGTCTAGGCTGTTACAAGCACTTGTGAAAGTCGAGAGCTACGCCATCGGTTCGTAAATCTACGAAGACCTTGTACCGAGAAGAACCGGCAAGAAACTCGGCAAGGGCTGCTTTTTTCTCCCTGTTTTATTTCATACAGAGCGTCAAGATTGAAAAATGACTACATTAAAATTTGAAGTCACTTTCCATTGCAATATTACACAATATTAGAGTAAAACAGTATTTTCGTCAATCCAATCACATGTGTAGCCAAAGAAGCTCACCGATTAACAATTTAATATACATATATGAAAAATGAGCCATATTTAACTCCAAGCAGTTTTATCGTTTAAATATTCATTAACAGTATATTCATTAACACTTCATTTGGGTTATGGTTATTCAGAATAGAAATTATTTTGGTTCTGAAAAAAAATCAAAACAAAGCGATTTCTGTTTAAAATACCGGTTAATTTTGCTTGCATATTTCTATTACTCTGCCTGTTTAACGTTTTCCTGTTTTATATATAAGTCTTCACCTTTCTTTAAAATTTTAATCTTGAAAGAGATAGCGTACGTATACGCCCATAATTTTGCTTGGAACTAACCAGGATTAGTTTATAACCGTGATTATAACGCTCGCGAAATTAATATTGTCCGCGGACACTAATGGAGGCATGCGGCAGGTTAGAGGCCTTATAGGCTTCCCGGAGGAGTTGGGGTGGCAGTACTGATGCAACCCCGATAGTAAAAAAAAGGGCACTAGGTGGCCTTGAATTTTTAACATTGGTATGCATATTTCCAATTTGAACTGACAAAAATTAAAAAAAGAAAAATACTGAAAAAATTGCTGAGTACCCAGGCCATCAAAAATAAAAACCCCAATTACATAATGATAGGGTGATGTCTAAATTTTTTTTATTTGTTCTTACAGTATTTGTAGATTTTGTACATTTTCTACAAAACTTCAACTTTAATGCCTGTTATTTTAACTATTTTTGTTGTTGAATTGAAGTAAAAAAAGATATGTATCTAAATTTTTTTTTATTGTCTGAGTGATGGATTGAATACAATTATTTTTTTACCCAGTCATTCCTATTGAATGACCATAAAAAAAAGGAAATTACTGTAATATAGAGTGAAATATAATAAAGCTTCAAATTTCTTGTAAAACCTAAAATTTATCATTGTTTGTGATTATTACTCATTTCTTACCGTCAGTCATGCAACAACTCATATTGGTAAATCCGAAGATTTACTAACATATGAGCTTTTACTGTTACATATACTCTACTTTAACCGCTAGCTTTCTCCCCTTAGCCTATAACAGGACAGGCTTGAACTATTGTGAAATTCTTTTGTATAATTATAGGCTAAAACTACAAGCAAGATATGCTTGCTCAGGTAAAAATTTATAAAGAATATTTATATTGGTAAGACTATTTAAGAAAAAAGTATTTATGAAAGGTTTTAAAACTTTGTTTAGAATAGAAATCAAGATTTAATTAGGTAATTTAACATTTTGTGATAACTTGACTTATTGCTGTGTACATTAATGTATGTTAAGTGTACATCATTTATTATATAGGTAAGAATAATATACATTTACTTCCATCTTATCTATGCAATGTCAAGGTCAAGTGGCTATCATAAACTCTACTGAACTGTGAGTTCAAGAGTTATAAAATTAATTACATATTTTATTAGGCACACAATTATTAGAATTATTGATATAAACATTGACTTATTCAACTAAGATATGAGATACAGATATTTACATCTGTATCCCATATCTAAGTTAAAGAATGCAAAAACAATATTATGTATTTTGAAATGTTACTAATATTATAAAGGAGAAAGTTTGTAAGTTTGGATGTTTGTTGATTCTTCATGCAAAAATTACTGCACAAATTTTAATGAAATTTGGTATACTTTTAAGCATTGGTTAACATATAGGCTACTTTTTATTCCATCAAACAGTTCCCTAGGGACCATGCAGGCAAAGCCGCTGATTAAAAGCTAGTATCATAATTTAACACTTTGCTATATTACTTTTAATCAGGGTTTGTATCTAATTTTCAAAAATTGATATAATTATATTTTAGTCATAATGATAAGTTTATGAATGTGATGTAATGGTTTGATATTTCATAAAATCTAGTAAAATTGATTTGAATTACATGGAAAACCACAAAAATACAAACTCAGTTTAAACTAGTTAGCAAAATAAAAGATACATACTATTGCTCCAACATCACTATTTAATTACTCCATTCAGAAAAATTTTTAATAAAATAGTAATTTAAGACATTAATTCTGAAATGTAAAAAACATAAATGTAATTTTATTTTTGTCACTCAGCTCTTGTGGACCCCCACAGTGGTTTGTAACATTTACAGAAATTGTAAGAATGTTCTTGCTTACTTCCAATATAAAAATAATACTTTTGTGACAAAGACTCAGAATTCTGATGTCAAAACTGATTTGTTCTAAGTTCTGTTACATCTCTCGACAGAAAGAAGAATTTAAATATAGTCAAACTCTAACAATCAAGATAATCTCGCTAACAGATATTGTTCAATCTCCTTTATGAAATCAATGCGCAGTGTGGTTGAATGGCATTGTATATACTAAACCAATGGTTTACGGTTTGTCAATAATCTGCACTGAGTTTAGAAGAATCCCAAAATATAAAATGAGAAATAAATATGAATATAGCAAAAGTAGCTAAGGGGCCCATATAAAGATGTGCCAAAAGTGGGCCAAAAGCATTGGAAAACATGCAAGGAAAGGAATTACTTTCTGTAAATTCCGGCAAACCTAAATCTCTTGGAAAAATTAATAAAAGCATATTCAAATAATATGAATGGGAAATGTTATTTAGGATATTTTCAAATAGAAGTAATCAAAATGCTTGACCCAAGCATAACATACGTTCTTTTAAATATGAAATTAGTTCCGTTTTCTGAAATTAAATTAAATACTTTTTCCTACAAATGTGAAGGCAGCAAATGCTTTATTTTTGTAAAGATTTTTAATTGTTTACATTTTGTAGAAAAGTCATCAATCAACTCACTGAGCAGGTACTCATAGATCATTTTACTAAATTCATTAAAATATTCAGAAATTCATCACATAGTTAAAATTTTATTTACCATTATTTTCTTGAATTTTGTCAGTTACAGCGGTGCTTCCTGTTTGTGTCATGCCCTTAGACAATTCGTCCATCTTGCCGTATATTCGTTCGTTACATCAATCATCAAAATCACAACACAAATAAAAAAACTAACGACACACCATTATTAAACACTCTGTAGTTCAACTAAACTTCAGTCTTTGTCGAATAAATATAATTTTATCCATTTCAAACACATTTCCGAAAATTCCAGCTGTAACAAATCAGGCACTTAACAAATTGAAGTCTCTAGGACCATAAACAATAAAGAGAAAAGATACAAACGGACGAACCATAGAGTTAAAGGCGACATCTGTGGAATGAAGATAAAATTGTACTGCAGAAAAATCATTGTCAGTCTACTAAACCATGACAACCCCTTGTCGTGCGTCGCGATTCCATTCATCCGTCGATTCTATGAGTCATGAATGTGGAAGAATTAAAAAAAAAATAAAGTAACTACAAAAATTTATGTCACTAGATGGCAGCACAAATTGTAGGATCTAAAAGTCAATGCATGACGTTAAACCAAAGAGAATTGTCAGTGATGTGTGGATCTGATAACTCGGATTAATATCAAGTTGAAATTTAATCAGTACAAGTTATACAAACGCACCTCGATTAATACAAAGTAATCTTTGAATAAATTACTTTTTTATTTGTATAGAGGAAAATGGAAACTAACAAAATAGAAGAGAGCACAGCGAAGGTTTTTTTTTATTTTATGGAAATCAATTTGATGAGGAAGAATTTAAAAAAAAAACATTAGTTCCTGAAATCAAACTAGAAGTCGCCCATCCGGTTTTCTTTCATGTTTATAAGTGGGTATATTAGTTTTTAAAACTCAATAAACAACTCATATTCTATTTGTAATTTTTCCTATTTGTATTGATATCTAAGTTTAGAACTTTTCAAATTTCAGTTATTTAATTTGTTACTTAAAAGGAACAGAAATGAGCGTCTTTGGTCCATTCGTTTCCTGCAAAAATCAACTTTTGCTAGAATCGCCATCTAGTGGAGGTGCGTTTTTGATGCTTTCTTCTTTTTTAAATTCTTCCTCATTTCAAAAACTATGAGACGAGATAGTCCCACATGATGAAAATCGTAATTTATTAAGCTATTTACTTATTTGGAATATAATATAAGCTATTTACGGGAATTGAATTTATTATAATTACGTCGTGAAATCTTCACTCCCTTTTCTAATTTTCGTAATCTATGTCCTATGAAATCTAAACTAGTCCAATTAAACGTTTTTTGTGTGAAAACCAAAGAAAAGCACGTGTAAAGTGGTTGAACATTTAAAATGTGAATAAGATAAGGAGCGCGGCAAACAGACGTGACAGTTTTCCTTTTAAATTAATGGCGGGTGCCAATCAGTAATTAATCTGTATTTATATCTCAATAATCAGTCTGTATTGATATCTCAATATGCAAACCAATTATTAGAACCAACTTATAGAATATTTCAACAGTCTCTGAATTCTAGTATTTTTCCTAGTGTTTTGAAAAGAGCCCTTATTACGCCTATTCCCAAAAACAAGCGAAAAGATTTAATAACGCAGTATCGAAAATTATTCGAGAAAATAGTATCAGATTAACTGTAAATTCCTTTCTTAAGCCTTATATGTCTGATAGGCAACATGGATTTATGAAAATATGCAGTGTCGAGACTAATATGGTCACGTTCACTGATATTTTTCTTAAAGCTATGGATGAAAATAAACAAGTTGATGTCGTATACACTGATTTCACTAAAGCGCTTGATAAAATTAGCCATTATTTACTTATACAAAAAAAGCTTTCAAGAATTTCTAGGAACCTAAGGTTGAAGGTGGGGGTCCCTACTGTGGTGATGGAGACAACTGGTCAGGGAGACTAAAGGATAATTGTCTCCGTCCGAGCTAGGTGTTGTTAGCCCGGGGACCGCGGTCCAACCGAAGTAGGTTGGACGTTCTATTTATGTTAATTGGTAATGAAACTTATTCTGTGCGATGTAGGTTTCTTTGTTCTAAATGTCTTGTAGTTATTAATTTATGTTGCTTGTATTGGTACAGCGCCATCTCGTTACTTGCTGTTGAAACTGATTGCAGTTCGTCTTGCTATCGATGGCTGTGACGATGCTAGTCTTCTCGCTATCGATTGTTGTGGCGATGTTACTGCGATGAGTTAGATGTCGCTATGTATCAGTCGCCACAGTACTTTCCCCCTAGACCGAAGGTCGATCCATGTTGATAGTAGGTGATATGCAGTCAGTGCTTCAGAGCTTGCAAGTGCCATGGTTGTGACGTCGGGACCGAAGCTGCTGGTGTGCAGGGCTGCCACGCCGGTGAGTTGTGTGTGAACTGAGGTCCGGTCGTGGGCTGCGAGGACCAGGGTCGGGATAATGCCGTTATGATGTACCAAGGATCCAGGAAGCGTCGTCGATGCTGCTGTGATGGACCTTGGTTTTGGCTGGCTTGCTGCTGAAGTGGCTGTGCTGATGAGGGATGAGAAGCTGATGATGAAGGGTGAGAGGCTGTTGATGAAGAGTGATGGCTGCGTTGTGATGCTGAAGGTTGCTGATATCACGTCGGGGTCACCACTTTAGGAACCGTAAGGTTGAATGTGTGGTCCTACTGTGGTGATGGAGACAACTGGCCAGGAAGACTAAAGGATAATTGTCTCCCTCCGAGCTAAGTGTTGTTAGCCCGGGGACCGCGGTCCAACCGATGTAGGTTTCTTTGTTCTAAATGTCTTGTAGTTATTAATTTATGTTGCTTGTATTGGTACAGCGCCATCTCGTTACTTGCTGTTGAAACTGATTGCAGTTCGTCTTGCTATCGATGGCTGTGACGATGCTAGTCTTCTCACTATCGATTGTTGTGGCGATGTTACTGCGATGAGTTAGATGTCGCTATGTATCAGTCGCCACAGTACTTTCCCCCTAGACCGAAGGTCGATCCATGTTGATAGTAGGTGATATGCAGTCAATGCTTCAGAGCTTGCAAGTGCCATGGTTGAGACGTCGGGACCGAAGCTGCTGGTGTGCAGGGCTGCCACGCCGGTGAGTTGTGTGTGAACTGAGGTCCGGTCGTGGGCTGCGAGGACCAGGTCGGGATGATGCCGTCATGATGTACCAAGGATCCAGGAAGCGTCGTCGATGCTGCTGTGATGGACCTTGGTGTTGGCTGGCTATGATACGTGATATCAGCAACCTTCAGCATCACAACGCAGCCATCACTCTTCATCAACAGCCTCTCACCCTTCATCATCAGCTTCTCATCACTCATCAGCACAGCCACTTCAGCAGCAAGCCAGCCAACACCAAGGTCCATCACAGCAGCATCGACGACGCTTCCTGGATCCTTGGTACATCATGACGGCATCATCCCAACCTGGTCCTCGCAGCCAAAAAAGCAGTCCTTGCTGAGTTTCTTGCCGATTCTTGTCAGTACAAGATTTCCCGCCTTAGTTTTGCGAACAATTGGTAAAGTTTTCGACTTACACAAGTACTATGTAACAGCCTATACTGAATTGATTTTGATATTTATATTAATATTTGAGGGAACGTAACAATCAAACGCCCACGACACCACCGCAGAGATCTTTAAGAGACCATGACTACTCTTGGTATTTAGTATATAAAATATTTCAATAAAACTGATTTCTAGAGTAGGTTGTGTATGAAGTCAATCTATTGTTAACAATATTATTGTAAGAACCATAAAGCACATACCCACCGTACGAATTAACTTATCACATGGCTCGACGGCCGCCGTCGACATGCAAGATCAGTAGCAATAGTATAATAACTATACGTGTCTTTGTGATTTTGAAATTTAAAGTTATAACCTTGCTATTCGTTTAGAACAGTCGTTTCTTGTTGATTGCTGAATGTTTATTAAGATGATTTAATTATGAATATAAGATTAAATAACTGATCATAGTTTTTTAAAGTCTTAATTTCGAAAGCACAAGTTATTTGCACGTTACACTTTGCACAAACGTCATTTTAGCCAGAAGTCATGTTATTTTGTACGAATACCTAGTATATTTGATACATATCGGCTAAGTATATAGATAATAAACTGATTTTTTATTATAATTATCGTTTTTATGACTTTTGTTGCTGATAAATAAACCCTTTTCATTCATTCACCATATATAATATAAAAATATTGTTGAGACTTAATGTCGTTTTGTTTTTGTAAGTTCAACAAATAACTAATAGCAAAAAAACTAACTTACCTAGTTGTATTGTTTTCAGAACTTTTGTTAAATATTATGATGAAAAATTCCTAGACCTACGCATATGGCATAATAATTTTATTTATAACTACTATTTGACGGTAATATTATTGTATACCGTAGCTAAATGCCACTTTTAATTATATCACAGCATTAATTTAATTGATTTCCATTTAAAAAAAATAAACCTCTGTGATCACTTCCATTGTGTTAGTTTACATTTTACTCTAAACAAATAAAAAAGAAATTTATTCAAAGATTACTTTGCATTAATCGAGTTGCGATTGAATAACTCAAACAACTTGTTATTAATCCGAGTTATCATATCCATAACAACACTGACAATTCTATTCTCTTTGGTTTAAAGGTTATGAATTGACGTTTAGATCCAACAATTTGTGCTGCCATCTAGTGACATAATTTTTTGTAATTTCTTTATTATTTTTAAATACTTCCTCATTAGAGCTTATTCAGCTGCACCAGATTTATCATTATATAACCTTCTATATCTTCTTCTAGTATTTAATTGAGTATTGTGTTTCTTTTTTGAATAGTCAATTGTGTAGTTATATTATTTAAATATAGTATTAAGTACGTACTATTATAGAAATGACACTGCTATTCGAAATAATATGAATAAGATGATTTGTGTTTTATTTTGTTATTTGCATTTTAAATGAAATAAACATTAAAGTCTTTAATAAAATATCGCCTTGTGATTTCTAGTAATCATGTAAAATGGCATTTGATTTCACGGTAAAATTCAGCTATTTCTAGGTACTTTTCAAGCCGAACAAATTACTCAATCTAGCAACTTATGTAAAAATCCTAGCAACAAGCCTTCGGTTGCAGTTGGCAACATAGCATGGCTGATCTGTCATTTTAGTTCCACAAATTGCCGCGGGACTATCGAAACTGTCAGACTAAATCAGATCAGGCTTTATATATTTATAAATACTTTACTCTTCGGCAGATTAGTTTACGATTCTGGTTTGAATGTGATAATAACGCGTTTTAGTAAATGTGTATTGTATCGTAACTTGACTAAAATAAGATAAGATTAAACAGAAACATTTACATTATGATAAAACATTACGATGAAGTAAGGCAATAGTAACTAAACCATTTTATTATTTATGAGATTCAAGTGTAAATCTTGCCAGGATGGAACATTTCGGTCTTACACATATATTGTACGAGCCAGATAAATATAATCCGGATACTTTGGACCTATTAGTTGACGAAGAAGCAAGAGAATATTGGTTAAACACTTGTGAGAAACTTGTTGAGAAATATGTAAATTTTGCCCTGGCTAACACTGAAGACCCTACTGTAGAAATAAGAGCTCTTAAATTTAAAACATGTTACGTAGAAGCGTTGAAGGAATTAAGAGTAAATCCGCTGTAAGACCTAATTTATTCTCTTTTATACAAACATATAAGTTGAAATATCAATATATTAGTTTTATTTTTTTAGGGCACATGGACAATTGACAATACGATTACTCCTTGATATCAATGAGACATGCCTTAGATCTCAGGGATTCTTTGATTTATGGAAACAACAGAAAAAGTATGAAAATGATGGTGCACTGGCAGCTCTTAGTTCTCGATTAGCAGAAATTGATGCCTTAACAGATGATCGCCAACGTTGGATGGAACTATGTAGAGGAGTTCTAGCAGGTTTTCTTTTCTGACTAGCATTTTTTAAATGTTTATAGTCTCTATATGTCTTGGGGTGTTGATGAAAAACAGAATTATAGAAAATTATAGAAATCTATTGTCATTAGTTTTATGGTTACTCCACAGGTAATATGTTTGACTGGGGAGCTCAAGCTGTCACAGATATATTAGATTGTGGTCTATATGAAGCTCTAGAAAAAATTCAGAAAAGACCATGGCTATTTGATGGGTTAGATAAATGGCTTGAAAAGTTAGAGGTAAAACATATTTTTCATGACGAGTTTAAAAGCACAATTTGATATGTAATATAAATGTATTAATAATATTAAATACTTTCTAATTTAATATATGTTAATTTGAATAAGAATTTAGTTATTCTAAGGTTTCCTGAGATTCTTAATCTTTATGAAGTCATGGGCAAACACTTCTCTTGTAATAAACTTAAATTACAAGCTGATTTTGTAACTAAGTAGTATAGTAAAATTCTTAAGAGTATTAATATAAAAACAGCTTGGTTGTAAATTGTACATTAAGTACTCTCATAAAACTATTGGCATTAAGCTGAGTACTAGCAACTTGAATTTCATTACACATTACTTAGTTCGGTTTTGACATGGTACATCATTTTCTCAAAATATCATCTCAAAGAATCATTGGTCTCTTTTTTTTTTGTTAGCAATAGAGCTACTCTATTATATGCAGAGAGTATAATAATTTTGTAAATGAGATTCTACAAAAGTGCCTTTTTGCAACCTTTTCGAGATGACATTTTGAGAAAGTGACACTACATAAAAACTATAATTTTAAGAAATCATTTTAGAAAGTGTTTTCGTTACTTTTATCTTTTAAAGTAGATTTGATTGATGCAAGAGGCAAATTATTATTTAAAATAAAGTTTATATTGATTATCAATTATAGGGAATGTGGAAAATAATTTTCTCTTTTCCAGAAAACAATACATCACTGTGCAGCAGTATTTGTGGACAATAGTGGTGTGGACATAGTGCTAGGCATATTGCCATTTGTAAGGGCATTATTGTTGAGAGGGACATCTGTAATATTATGTGCCAATGAATGGCCAGCCCTCAATGATGTTACCAATGTTGAATTGGAGGAGTTGTTACAAAGAGCCTCTATTATTTGTCCAGTTTTGTCTGCTGCATTAGCTACTGGTGACTTAGTTGTAAGATCTAGTGGACAAAGAGGTCCATGTCTTGATCTTAGGACAATCAGTGTTGGTAAGTACACTATGGTATTGGGAACTTTGTTATTAGATTCAATATTTTAAAATTTGTTATTTTTACAACCTTTTTTTCTTTTAGGTCTTTGCACAGAGATGAAAGTACGTGGAGTTGACTTAATTGTATTAGAAGGAATGGGAAGAGCATTGCACACTAATTTAAATGCCCGTCTGGCTGTTGACTCATTAAAACTTGCAGTTGTAAAAAATGCCTGGTTAGCACAGCGCCTTGGTGGACCACTATTCTCTGTTATTTTTATTTATGAGGAGAAACCCTCTCAATCTTAATTTATCATAAATATGATATTTAATTTTAAAAATATGCGACTCTCCCAGTATTCTTGTAGAGTAAGCCCAATTATTAATAACATACCTACTATTCTTTTGCATTCATATTTTTCGAATGCCAGACTATGTGTTGACTTAGTGTTTTTCTGAATATATTGAGTGTTACCCTGATAGCATTGTTTTAATTTAGGCAGGTAGTATACTACCTGTTACATATACAAATTGGAAAAGTTGTAACTTAAAAACAAAAATTATCAATGTCCTTATATTTTTCAACTTTATTATAATAATAAATAGATCTCACTAAATAGATCTTTGAAACCCTGTGATTTCCATCAGACATTTATCATGGGTGTGGTTAAGTGAGATAAAATGTTGTCATTTTTACCTCAATTTGAGGCAAAATCTTTGACCACATTATATTTAGCAAACAAAATGGGGAGTCTTCATCATATATGAAAATCTGTAATTGGCATTAAAATAACTCATAATTTTCAAAAATCTTTAATTGTAGGTTGTAAATATTTTTCCTTCAAAAGACTGTAATTGTTTATTTTAGGTTAATGAAACAGGAAGTATGGGGAACCATTTATTTAAATTAAAAATGACCCATTGTTTCATCTATATATACTAAAAGTAAAGGTCACATAACTTCATAACAAGTAGATCAAATGCAGCATTATCTATACTGAAAGTAGAATGAAGAATCACTGTACAATGTAATAATAAAATGTACAATATGGTATAAAAAAATGTTACCTATATTCTAGAAATCATAATGTTTAACACTCCACTTTGTGATACCCTCTACATTATAATGTAATATTTCTATTTGACATGCCATTTATAAAATGGTTATGATTATAATTTCATGAAGTCAAAAAATACATCATAATAACTTCATTTTACAACTGCATAATCAAAAAATTAGGATCTATTCAGCCAAGCAATAACCTTGAACAACAAATAGGCAATGCCAATAGCATATGCAATTTTTTCCTTTTGCTGTCTCTGAAGTTGTTCTGCTTCTATTGCCATGACGCGTCGATTCAATTTGACAATTTGTCGTCGTAGATGTACCATCTCTTCTGCTGTAGAGAGACCTTCACCATGTCCCATTGGAGGAGTAGGGTCTCTAAAATTTGATTAATAAAATATATGCCATAATCATAAGACTGGCTAATGTCATTATAAATGATAGCTAGACCAATGAGATTATTATACAGTTTTAAAAGTATTATCTTTTTACCTCAGCACAAGGCGTGATTCAGTCATTGTTGATTCATTGAAGTTATCAGGCCGAGGTGTTGTGGATCTTGCTCCATCACCTTGTGATCTAAAGCTCCTTAGGTTCCTTGGAGGCGAATTTGGGATATCCGCTGGAAAGTCATCAGCAGATGGAAAGTAGTGTTGGTCAAGGGTGATAACACGTGGAGGTGTACTCACACGAATCATACCCGGGTCAGTAGGCAATACAGCATTATCTAGTTGTATTTCTCTGGGTGGGGCTTTAGTACCTAATAAGATAAAATATTGTATCAATAAATTGTTTTATAAATAAAACTAATAAACAGATTATTATTTGCAGAATGGAGTCAAATGTTATTAGAAGTCATAGCACTTTATTATTTATTATAGTATTGAAAGCCATTTTAGTTAAGCAAAATCATCCTTCCATTAAATATGTGTTATCACGAAAAAAGTAGTCACCTATATGCTGATCCTGGCCGACAACTAAGATCCTCTCTGGAACCTTCATGTCAAATTTCTCATTTGCATAATCCCAGCCAGTCACCAATCCATTAGGTGTATTTTCTTCGTCAACAATATCACCTGTAGCCTAAACTCAAAATAATTTCATGATTTAAATCAAAGTTCATTATTCAACTATGTAATTAATATAAAATCTTACCTCTCCATAAAGGTCACCTAGTAAGTAAATTGTCTTACCAACAAATGCTTAGCAAAATGCTAAGCATTTGTTGCATGCAATGGATGTGAAATAGAACTACTAAAACTCCCTAAGGTCATTATCATAAAACATACCTTGATCCTTTGTGGCACAGTCATATTATGACTTATAAGCCGAGCATATGCTTCTTCCGATGTGAACTGCATTGTTGTTCAGTCTACAAGAATTAACAAGTTAAAATTTTTATGGATACTTTTCATGTTAATAAATGAAAAAAAAACTTTCAATAGACCTATAAGGAAAGTTCAATATATATTGTTTACAGTAGTTACACAAACAATATGCAAATAATGCGCTGTCTTTTTTTTAGAGTAATCCTAAATTTTGTGAGTTGTGATTCTGTGTAAAATAAGAAGGTAGTTACAGCTTGTACACTAATTATATTTTCCAATAATTCTATCTTTATATGAATTTATACTAAATCATTCACAACTTACAGTTATTAATAACGAAATTTGGTATTTCGTGTTATTCCATTTGTACGTTTTTGTAATAAAGGAAAAAAGATGCAAGAAGAAACTACTTTTTAAATGACAGCTGAAGTCCCCCACCTCACGTTGATAGAATATTTTTTTGTTGTTAATGAGGCTAAGGAATTTTACATAGATTTGTTAAGGCCGGTGTCGACTTATATGTCACGCTGATTCGAATCAAAAGAGGAAGTATTGAAAAAAAGCATTAGTTCCTGAAATCAAACTAGATGTCACTACGGTACGTTCTTGTTTTTACCATGACAACCGGTTTTCTTTTATGTTTAAAAGTAAATTCGTTTTCAAAACTCAATAAACAACTCATATTCTATTTGTACTTTTTCGTATTTGTATTGATATCTAAGTTTCGAACTTTTCAAATGTCAGTTTTTTAATATGTAAGTTAAAAGGAACAGAAATTACTGTCTTTAGTCCATTCGTTTCCTGCAAAAATCAACTTTTGCTAGAGTCGCCATCTAGTGAAGGTGCTTTTTTAGTGCTTTCGTTTTTTTTAATACTTCCTCATTCAGCCGGGTCCAACGAATCTACTCGACACTACTACACTGACTAGCCTTTCGAGTTCATCTCACTCCGTTTCCGTATACATACCGATTTAAAATACCTATATACATTTAAAAAATAGTACACTCCCAAATTTTTTGTACAATCAGCTGCAAGTCAGAGTATAGAAACTGACAATCTTTTTCATTTTATACAGATTTTAAACCTTTATTAGTCGAGGGTAGAGGTCAAAATCGATTGCAGAATTAGTCATAAAATATTTAAAAAAATAAACAGATTTCTAAATTGAAAATATTGTACCATTCCAAAAAATTACGTACATATAAGCACAAAACTACATACATATAAGTCAAACGTCATGCATGTAGCAGAGTAATAGTCGGTACGCATAAGGTATTTGTAGTAATATTCACGCTGCGACGTGCCAGTCATCATGCTCCGTGTTCTACTGTCATTGGTGGATTTAGTGATCTTCACATGTCACTAATGTCAAAATTTATTTTCTGTTGGTTGTCTTTATAATCGAGTGGTTGAATGTAATTAAAGTTAAAGTTTACCGTATGATTGACTTTATTTAATTTTTACGTGAAGTAAATCTGTAAGCAATGGTGGCAGTATTCTTTTGGGAGTGTGATTAAAATATGTAAATTATAGTTTAGTAAAATTAAAGTCGCAAATTTTGTTCTCACCTTTTTACAATGGTGTCCACCGGCTTATTGATCCCTCTCGTCGTTGTAGCCTGTTTTTCTGTGATTCTTGCCTCAAATCCCGAGACAACAAAACATCAAGAAAAGAAATCTAAGTCTGTAACTTCGTTTGTTAGTGCTAAATGGGAGACCACTCCGATCGTATTAGAATTAGCAGAATATCTGTCCGGCGAGAGTACAGACTTATTTTGGTCATTTGTAGATCAGATAAATACATTGAAATCTAGTCTTGACAGTTTGGGTAAGTCATGAATACTAAAAAGAATTGAAATATTTTTTCATTCTTTTATGGCTGATTTTTATGAAGCATAAATTAGCTTCTGCTTATCAGTGTTATATCAGTCAATATAACTGTTCATACTTACAACAATTCATTGTTGATAGAAATTTAATTTGTTCCTGTTTAAGTTTAATGTTATATCATCTACAAGATCACATGTGCCATATTTTCATTTTCTTAACATGTAATGTAATTTATAATTAATTAATTTCTTCCAAATTATATTTTCAGAGACTGACAAAGAAGTATATGATGCTTGTATTGGAGTTGCAAGCACATTAATGGTACCAGCACAATTACGTATGGCAAAACTTGCATTGTCTATGCATACAACGTCCCCAACCGTTCGTATGTTTGATCAGATCTCATCACAGAATGGGGCAAAAGAAGTACAGTGTGATACATTTGTCTTTATAGCTTCAAGGAGAGTCTGTGATAATGATGCACTCAGAGATATTCTCAAATCATATGATAAATACGATCCTGTAAGTATAAATATAATCAGTGTTAAAAATTTTCCTTGCTCAGTTAATGTACCATAAATAAAATTCAAAGATTGAATTATTATATTATTAAAGTCAAATAATATTTATTTGCTTGCAATGCAGTATGTTGAAGAATTTTTCACAATGGAATGAATAAGTCATATTTATAAAAACAGTTTAATTAACAAAATGACCTTAATGGTTTTTTATACAGTCATTAACCAATAGTTTTCTATAATATTCAACTTGATAGTCAATGTTTCAGCATTTGTAATGCAGCGGTAATGGCACCAAAATAATATCACTCACTGAATAGTACAGTGGCACAACTCAAAAACCATAATTTCGAGAAACACTCTCTGAAGTTATGAGAATTTAATATATTTATAATTATGAAAATCAAATTTTTTAGCATAACAGTTAAATCGTTTGTATTACATTATTACTGTTAAGTTTTTTATTTTTTCTTTAAAGTATCTATGGGATACCACCACAATATTGTGGCGTTATCTCGAAATAATGGTTTTTGAGTTGTGCCACTGTACTATTCAGTGAGCGATATGATATAACACAGTGGTGCAGTATTATAACTCTTTTCTTTAGCTACATTCATGTGCTAAATAAGTCAGCCCACAGATGTAAGATTAAAACAATGCATAACAATGCTAAAACATCGTCCAAGTACTGACAGGTTAAAAGTAAATTAAAACTGAAAAAGTCTTACATTCATAACAAATACTAAATGGAAATCCAAAAATGATTTGTGGGCTGTTTTCAAACTTAGCTGATACTGTTACTGTACAATCCATCAAAATATGTTACTGGAAGAGGATAATAACAGAACAAAGTCCTACTGTGGATTTTTTAATGAGATAACAACATAATAATAACATAATAATTACCTGATGCAAACACTTGATGATTACAATAATCTATTCCTTCCTATTAGAAATCAGCCTTGAAATTGTGTAATATTTACACATGTTCAGTAGCTTTTAAATTGTTCTGGTCATATCTATACTGATATTATACAAAGGAAAATTCTATTGTTGAATTGAATAGGCCCTGACACTACTGCACCAATTTATTTTTTTATTTTTTCTATGTGAAGCTACATTAAATTCTGGTAACATAAGCTATAAAATACCAAGATGAAGGACAGTCATGGAAAAACACCTAGTTTTTTAATATTCATAAAAAGCTAATATTTGCTTATAATAAAAATCTAAAGAATCTTAAATAAAGCAAACCTTGTATTACTTACTTGGTTAGAATTAAACTTGATTTGAGTATAAATATTCATACTTTTACTGTATTGTGATTTTATAAATTTATAACTTTATTTTATCAGGTTGTTGATTGTTTTCATGAAATATCTGGTTTTTCTAATAACTTCTATTGTTATTTCAGGAAGAGCATAGATTAGAAACCTATCTTCTGGATCACACTTATCCAAGTAGTGACAATAAGAGCTTAACAGCCATCTTGTATGGTGAGCTTGGTATGGCAGATTTTGCTACAAAACATAAAATACTGTCAGGTTATGCTGACAAAGGTGCCATCAATTATGTAGTGAGATGGAATGTTAAGGTGAGTGCACTGATAAGCAAAGAAAGGTTTTTTAAAAGTTATTTAATACATTTTCGTTTTTATTATAAGGGGCCATCCATAACTTATGTCACATGAATTTCGTAAAATTTTGACCCCATATCACAGTTTGTCTATACAATATTTTTCTTTCTATCTCAATGACTCCACTGTACTTTTCTCACACAATTCTACCAATCTCACATGGATAGCCACTACACAATTAAATATTAAATGTCACATTGACCCCCCCCCCCCCCATTTTTTTAAATTGTAGTAAAGGATATTGAATTCATATTCAATTTTAAATTACATTTTTCTAGATATTTTTATTGTATAATGTATATTTTGTAAAGCCTCGAGGTCGCCCTAAGCTACGGTTGTCTGGCTATGGAGTAGAACTTCAGTTAAAAAGCACTGAGTATAAAAGTCAGGATGACTCCACACCGAAAGAGGCCGAAGGTGAGGAGCAGACTGTATCTGAAGAAGAAGATGAAAATGACCCACAGAACCAAATAGATGGTTTTAATTTTGGAAGATTAAAGTAAGTGTCAAATAATATAGAATATAGACTATGATATAATAGTGAACAGTAACAGTATCTGTAGTCATGGTAAAACCTTGTTTCATATTGCCGAAGTGGCTCTTTGCAGACTATGGTAATGCTTGAACCTATATTATTCTTTTATCATTTTTTCTACTTATATTAACGTTACTCCAGAAATCTGTTTCCCGCATTACGAACGCCGCTGGAGCGATTCCGTCGTCATTTGTCGGAATCTAGTGAAGAGTTAGCACCACTGAAGGTGTGGCAGATGCAAGCTCTCAGCATGCAGGCCGCTGCTGCTGTAGTGGACGCCAATGACGCTGGAGGCGACGAATCACTCAAAGTGCTTACTTCCATCGCACAGAACTTTCCTATGCAAGTAAGTGCTATTTCGATATTTATGAATATTTTGGCAGTCTATAATTTTTAGTTTAGTGAATAAAATAAAAGTAAACATGAATCAACGTCGAAAAAATAGACAAGATCCTTAACTAAGTTGCTAAAGATCAGAAAGCTGGTCGGTGACCAGTATTTAATTATTTAATTGTGTTGATGAAAATAGAAATGAAATATTAGCTCAGAATAGGCTGTACAGCAAGATTTCTTAGCTTTTATAAAAAAAAAACAAAAATCAGGATCTGTTTTTTATGCTTCTCATAATAATGTCTACTGGCTGTTTCACAGACCAAGTCGTTGATTCACGTAAATGTGCCGCGTTCGTTCCGCGACGAGGTGTTATACAATCAGGACGTGTGGGCGTCCTCGCTTGCTTTACGTCCTGCGGAACCATTGCTACTTGTCTCTGGAGCTCAATACGATGCCGAAGACGTCGATGTATTGGCTTTGCTCGCAGCAATCAGAGAAGACATAGGACCTATGAACACTCTTCATGCATTAGGTAATATGTTCTTTATAATTATAAAAATTTATAGGATCGATATCAATTTGACGGAAGATGTGATGATCCGAGATCAATTGTTATATGCATTAGGGGGCGTCCATAAATTACGTGAGATGTTTAATGGGGGGGGAGGTCGAGTCAAATCTCATCTAATCTTACGTTGGAGAGAGGGGGGGGTCTCGGCAAATATCACGTAATTTTATTTCTGATAGAAAATAATTTCATTCATACTTCGACGTTATACATCTACTGAATATCAAACCACCATATTTGTAGGGTTCGAACGACACTTCGATACCGAGTAGGTATCGATCCTTTCAAAATCGATACTCGATACTTTCAAAATCGATACTCGATACTACAACAAGGTAAATACTCGCAAGTACTCATCATATTGCATTTTGAAAGATCTCACGTGACATCGAGGGATGGAGCCCTCCCCCATACCTCAATCTCACGTGAGATTTTTCAATGAATTTTATGGTTGAATAAAATCTCTCCAGGGGGGAGGGAGGGACAGAAAATAAAATAAAAACACCTCACGTAATTTATGGACGCCCCCTTAGTAAGCTCGATGGAGTAATAAATATTTGTTGAATGCTATATTATGTATTTTATCGGTTCTTACTTTTCGTAGCGGATGAAGTACCTACGTACTACATTCAATATGCACCGATTCTTAGGTTCAAATATCAAGGGTCCCTTACTTGCAGAGTCTTTTACCAGATAAGTCGACCTCGCTTACACCCTGACTTACGTCTTGAAAAGGACGGGCGCAGGGTCAGAGAGCCCTGGTATAAGGCTTAAGGTTGCATTTCCCCGATATAAAGTCAAAAAGTCACATTTGATTGAATCATAAATAGAGAATGTCCTACACTACAAAGACTCAATACCAATTGGTGGATGTTAACAAAAACTTGGTTCTAAAAACTTAAGTTGCCTTCTGCATTATAATAAGTTTTGGTCACCCACCTGATTAATATTGTGGGAAAGTACTTAATTTAAGCAATCTCATACCGACCTTGCTAACCATTGAGCTGGTGAGATACTTTAACTTGCATTTAATTATTTTGTTGTACTGATTTAGCCTTAATCTATTGTTATTACAGGTCAAAATTAGTTGCGAATTTTTTTTATTCTAGTAATATATGTGCTTATGTAATAAAACCTTTTATACATCTAATACATTACTTGAATTTATATTTATTATTGTAATAGTTTGATGTATTATAGTAATAAGTTGATGTTATGAAATATTTGGTCAAATATTGACTACTTTAATGTTCAGGGAATATTGAAATATTATGTAAATCATGCAGGTTTATCAAAGAAACTAATCAGCAATCTGATGTCCCTTGAGCTCGGTGAGTCGTATACTTGGGAAGAGTACGGTCTAGACGTGCGAGACACGGCGATCACTTGGCTCAATGACTTGGAGACGGATGAGAGATACCGTCGGTGGCCATCATCATACATGGAGCTTTTGAGGCCTACCTACCCGGGCATGTTGAGAAATCTCAGAAGGAATATATACAACTATGTGAGTATTGTCATTGAGTACTTTAGTACCAGATACAGAAGATTATCTATCCAAAATACGTTTATACTAATAAGAAAGAGAGGTAAAGTTTTACTTTGTTTGTTAGGGGTAATCTTCGAAAATAGTGATTTGACCATGAAAATTCTTCCACCTATGGAAAGGTACATCATACGATATAGGCTACAATTTACGCGGGCGGAGTCGCGGGAAAACAGTTGCACATGCCAAATACCATGCAAAAAGTGAACACTAAAAATTGTATCTATACTAATATTGTAAAGAGTTATAGAGGAAAATTCTTTCCCCACCGAAAGCTATATGATACGCGGGTGACATAGACTATAATTTCGGGCGGAGCCGTGTCAAAATAGTTTTTTTTTGTACGAAATAAATATCTGTGTAGGTAATCGTAGTGGACCCAACATCTCTGGCTTCTGGACCGCCTCTCAAGTTAGGTGAGACACTATTGAAACACGCTACACCCGTCCGTGTTGGGTTAGTACTGGCGCCGGGCAGTGGTAATGCTAGATTGGAAGCCGCTGTCCGCTCGGCATTCAACTATGTGGCTCAAGAGAAGAACTCTAACAAGGAGGCATACTACTTTTTGACACAAGTAAGTTATTTTTCTACGTTTTACATGTTTCTATTGTTTACAATATGCACTGTCCTCTGTGCTGTTTATAATAGTATATTTTTTTATAATGCATTTCTAATAGTCACTATATAAGACACATTTTTGTGATTACCTTTTTATGTACAATGACTTACGGCAATATTAATTGATTATAATCAGAAAGTATGATTTTTATTACATTTATTTCAAATCATTTTATATATATATAGTTGGGTAATGAAAGCGATGCAATTTTTAACATCGCTTCGTATCGTTTGGCTCCCAGTGTGCTCTATCTTTACATGGTTTTAAATATTTTTTGTCAGTTACTACACCCATCACAAGAAGACAAGTTAACACTCGACCTTGTGAAGAAACAACTGAAGAAGTACGCCGACTCTAATGACAATCTAGATGACGTTATATCAGAAGACTCCGAATACAATTTTGGTTCGCAACTAGCCGAAGAGTTTGTTTCCAAAATTGGAACAAACAAGTATCCACAGGTAATATTATAAGTAATTTAATTGTAAGTTGATTTAAAAGTATATTCTAGTTTCATGGAGCTGGTAATATTATACCTTATGGAAATAAATTTTTCTTGATTGATATTGGATTTAGCTTAAATAATTATAAAGCACATAGATTTTACTTGATATACAGATTTTATAAATAGCAATAGGTAGCATATATATTGTTTAAACAGTAATATTTCTAGAGACTTTATAATACGTTAACCTGGGTCAAAAAAGAAAGTCAATCAGATAATGAAAAAATAATTAGATACGTTTTTTTTTGCTTCAATTTAACAAGCAATGGCTTAGATAGTAAGAGAGAAGATCACAGTAAACATACCTATGTCTCGCTCTAATCGCGCCTGCGAAATTAGGGAAGAAGGGTATAGTAGAACGATTTGATGGTTTATTTCACAGAACACGGAAAAAAGGTTAGAAAGGCGATCATGCATCCTTTGTACGAAAACCGATGTAGCCAGTCTTGCCCCACTTTTAGTCCGCCGTACATCAAACGAATAATTAGACCAATTATACAAAAGATATGCACACACTTGTATTTTAAACATGCCAATCAGAACGCTCCAATATAACTATAACCAATCATGCTCAACCATAACGGACATCTATAGTGCGCAATAAACGTGTATAAGCTATTTTAATTTGACATATTACACTAGTGATTCACATAAAGTTATTTACTATCGATATTTTATTTTGCTCATATATGTTTTGTTGTAACTGTTTGTTCCTGAATAAATAAATAAAAAAAAAAAAAAAAAATTGAAAAACAACAAGTCGATTAATTGAAAGGATACTAGATTAATGATTTCTTTATATTATATTGGATATACATTGAATTGTATTGATTAAATGAGACATTATCTTTTTTCTTTAGATATAAATTCTTAATTAGTTGGTTGATTCAATAAGAAATATTTAAATTACTAATGAACTAACATTGAATCGGTACTAGTCGAGCTTAAATATATGCATATAAATATGTTTGTTTATTAATAATAATGGTAGGTTTTTTTTTACGTTACGTTACTCGATTTCGTATCAAGTAAACAGATAAGATCGGCAACATCGCTTAAATAAAAGTAGTAATATTGACAAACAATATAATGTAAATAAATATATACAAAGTAAAAAAATACTACCAGTACAATAAATGCTATTGGAACTTATCCTGAACAGACTCCGATGATTTAAAAAGTATTGTTGTTAATTGTTCAAAATATAAAAAAAAGTAGTTTTCTGTTTCAATATTAAGAATATCAAAAACAGACTTATTACCACACTCATTATTAAATTAATATACAAACGCATTCCAAACGAAGTCAATATGGTTAATCTCTGATAAAATTAATTTTTTATTACCACTATTTTTATTGTCCATACTTTTATTTAGTTTTTACTACCTAACATACCAAGAATCGATTACATGTTTCCAGGCACTTCACTACCCATCTACCGTAATCTATTATGTTGCTATTTAAAACGGTAATTTCGCGATATTCATAACATTACGTGCTTAGTACGACGCAATGTAATAAATATGCGCACTTCTCCAGCAATGTATATTTTCTTGGAAATATTTTTTGTGATTCACACTTTTGATAACATTTCACGATTTTCGACTAAAAATACTAAATTTGAGAAGTGTTCTACTTAATAATGGAAAGAAATCCTTCCTTTGGGCCAATTTGAGGATGGGCTTCTAGTTTTGCAAATAATAACTGCGAAAGTCGGCATTTTTAACCCTTTTAGTGTTTCACAGTACTTACAGCGCGCGCGTTCGTGAATGACTAACCATCGCGATCGCGTGGTGAAGTCACGATCCTGTACATTTGTCTAGGATCGTGGCTGCACTGCCACGTCCACAAGGCCCTTCTAACGTCTTTCTGTGTTCTGTGGTTTAATTATAGCTGTCCTTTATGCATGCGTTAGTAGAAAAAGACATGTTTTGTAACGATCTTCTCCCTCTTTATTACCGTCAGCTATATAAATACATAATTTTCGTACGAGGACGAAATAGAATAAACCCTGAAGTGGACGGTATACCAAACAGACGCGTAGAGTATGTATAAAATGTGTCAATCCGATAAAGACAGTGCCATATAACGATCTTCAAAATAAAAATAACAAATAAGGTGAGAATAGCTCCCTCTAGGCTTTATTTATTTTATTTATTTATTCCATTTTATTATATTAACACTCATGTGTATATGAGTGTTAATATAATAAAATGAATAATAAAATCAAAATAGAGTTTATACAAATAAATAAAAAAAAAAATGAAAATTTAAATCATCGTCATATCTTAAAAATAAAAGGCAGTTGTTTACAACTAATCTGAGCTGCAGTAATTTTTCTCGCGACATGATATCACAGTATGGCAGGCCATAATTCAGGTCACGTGATACAGAGAAAAAAAAATCGACTTTTAATTTAACATAATAAGATAATCATGCGATCTTTCGACTTGAAATCAGAAAATGTATAACACAAATATAATAGAATAAACCCTCAATACCTTCAATATAATAGAATAAACAAATATAATAGAATAAGGTGGACATTCCACTGGTAACGTAGTAGTGGCTCGGTGGTGTTGTGGATAAGCGTCGCGGCCTGCGATCGTTGTTGTTAAGCAACTTTCGCAAGGGTCGGTCACGGGATGGTCACGTTAAGCCGTTGGTCCCGGCTGTTTTTGCTGTCGTTAATACCTTCCAATCCGCATTGTGCCCGCGTGGACGGTCATGGCCCATCCTCCATAACCATCCAAAGAAGGCTTGAGCTCCTGCAGTGGGGACGTTTAAGAGCTGATGATAATTGGTAACGTATATTGACCATAGGTGTTGATAAATGGCGTGCCGCTGACTGAAGAGGGTCCAACGCCAGTGATGTCATCGGTAGAATTATTGGAGGAGTCCTTGGTGAGCGCGATGGCTCGTAATACAGCACGCCTGCAGAGAGCCGTGTTCAGAGGGGAACTTGCCGATACTGACGATGCGCTAGATTATCTCATGAAACAGTCTCATATCATGCCCAGGTCTGTTACACTTTACAATTGGAAATCGAACAAATATGACATTTTATATTGTTTTTATAATCATATCAATCGAAAATCTTTTAATTTAATCGAAAGTCTTGAGCAGTTCACTTCACTATTATAACTTTGATTGATGTCAAATATGGTTTTTAATATAATCCAACTGTAGCTTTGACTCCGCCCCCCATTTGTTTAGTTTTTTTTGTTAAAATTTAACTTAGAACATAGGATTAAATATTAAAAACGCACACACTTCTATCCCTAACATACTGTGTATTTTTATTTCTATTACAGACTTAATCGCCGTGTGCTTGGATCAGAACCATCGCAGTATTTAGACTTATCTGGTGTTCCATCATCGAGTGAATTATTTACTGAAGACAAAATACATCGTCTGATGCATTTAAGTGGTAATTTAATTTTTCTTCTTAGAGATTACTTACTTAATATATTTTCGAGTAATTTATTTACATAATAATTTGTGACGTGAATTTGAAATAACTTGATAGGAAAAATAAACTACCAAAAGCGACTGGCAATCAAATCTGGGTTCTAAGAAACTTGTTGGGGTAGACCTATCATCAATGACTCAACAGAGCATTTAGTAGGTTTATAGAGCGGCCTCTGGAAGGCCAAGGAATTACAAACCTATTTTTCCCTAACTTCTAAATAACTTTGAAGTTGCAACGATATTTCCTTAAAATGCTAGATCATGTCTTATTCCAGATTTATATATAGTTTAATGTTTTTGAGTTATTTTTTTTATTTACACGTTTAGTTGAATTGAGGGTGTCATGATCTCAGAAGTCTGCGATTCTCGTATGGTTTAATATAGAAATGATTTAACTTTATGATTTCTGGTCTGGATGTATCCATTGCCACTGTACAATTTTCTAATATTTATTTATGTTTAAGGTCGCGACGCTTTAGCTACAGCTCTACCTCTACTGAGGTATTTCACGAAACCGGGCAAACCGGATAAAATCACACAAACTATATGGATAGCCGGTGATTTGAACAAGAAAGAATCTAGAGATTTGCTAAAGAACGCTTTGACATTCATGAGGGAATCGGGTGGCGTCAGAGTGGCTTTCTTACCGAACGTGGAGGGATTCTCGACAGTCGATCAGTCTTTGAACAAAGTCGTGATAGCAGCTCTGACTGTTTTAGAACCGGCAAAGGCTACGAAATATGTCGCTCAATTGTTAGAGAACGAGGGATGTCACGAGAGGCAGGATTGTGATATATTGGTGAGTGGTCGATTGGCAATTGAATTCAGTCAAGATATTTTCAGCATTTTGGAACTTTTGTATTAAATTCACATTCAATTCCATTTTTTCAATCGTTGAATTTCAAATTATCAACTCATCATCATCACTTCACCTCCCCAGTGTTGGGGCTCACGTCTTCCTTATGGGTAGTGAAGGAGGATGGGCTATTATCCTCCACGCTGATCCAATGCGGATTGGATGATATTGACGACTGCTAATGCAGCCGGGACAAACGGCTTAACGTGCCTCCCGAAGCACAGAGCAGTCCGCGAATTTAATTTAGAGTTAATATAAAAACAATAATTAAAACAGCTAAAGTTTGATATCTGCTGGTTAAGGCCCAGTTGTGTTTGTGACTTTTCCAAAAGTCAGCAATTAATTTCTTATTCACTCAAATATTCCATGACTGTGTTATAAGGCTACTAGTTCAGCAATTTTTAGAGTACCTGATGACGATTTTCATTTGACACCCTCATCTTACCACATTTTCAATCACTGACTCGTTTTTTTAGCCTGAGTTATTGCCTGCACTGAATAAATACGAGTGGGTGTTGAAAGCTTCGCGAGTACTATGTGCGCGCAGCTTCAAGTTGCGGCCTAGTTCACGCGCAGTAGTACATAACGCTAGGATTATAGGTCCACTTTATGATACAGAGAAGTTCACAGTCGAAGACTTTATGCTGCTCGAGAGGTAAAGTGTATATTAATTGTCTTCATTATATGTGACAGTAGGCGTTAGGGAGGTGGCTAATATCAGATTTTCACAATATCCATTCCAAACTATATATCTATATTCAATAACGGATTATGAAACCATTTATTTTTTTAAACTATATATTTGTAAATAGAACTGTATTCTTAAAGTAGCATGCTTAGTTCGTATTCTTCACAAAATGAAGTCTATTATAAAACGTCTACTAACACTAAATACACAGAAAACTATGGAAATAATCTTAAATGAAATACGGTAAGGTTTTAAATCCTAAAAATATTTGGATATTGCTATTTCACTCAAATCTATCCCATATCTCAAAATATCGGATATCGAGCGAGATACCGAATCCGACGTTTCGCATAGATGAAGCAATATAGTGTTTCAAATATTATAGTTTCTGTGCGCATCGATATCGGATATTACGATATTGATACAATATACGTTTCATTATATATATACGATTTGTATTGCCCACTCCTAATTAGGGACATCAGTAATGGTTATACTAATCTATGGACTTAATTTTTGGGTGTTTAACTAATATTGAGGGATGAATATCTCGAGTTTAAATTTTATTTGAATAAGATAATCCTATTTTATGATTCAAAATTAGAATGTCTAAGTTTATTTCAATTTAAATTAGTCTATGTAAAATATTGTAAGTTATTTTTCACTACTGAAACTACTTATTATAACAACCTGCTAGCACTAATCTTACAATAGGTAGCCAGCTATTAAAATTTTATATCAAAGGGTCTACTCCTAAGTTGGAATCGTTTTAAGTGTTATTTGAATACGTACCAGTTTTGTTTCTCTATATTCGTGTAAAGTAAAGCAAAGCAATAGCTCTTGTGCTATTTTGCCCCAATATAAATAAAAGACAAATTAATACTTTCATTATGACAAAATTAGTTTCTTATGCGGCTTTTATTTGCCTTTTGTAGATTCACTAACCAAGTATACGGCGATAAACTGTCTGAAGTTTTCGGAAAGAAAAAGACATCAACAAACGATGTTCACGACGACGACGGTAAGGAAATTATATAATAAGAACAATAAACTTTATTTGAATGGATATATACATACAATAACAATGAGTAAGGAAAATAATGTGGCACAAATAGTAGCAGGTTAACATATGCTGGTTTTTAGATTAGTGTTGATCATGCATTGGATTTTATAGAATATCGCACCCAAGGCAACATCCCCTTCAACCCACTTCTATGGAGTGATGGATCGTTTAGTATGGATACGCCTAATATAAATACACGTTATAGTGATCGAAAGTCACGTCTTGTGTAGCGTACGCAATATGTAGCGGTAAATTGTTACTATGTAAGGTCAAACTTCAATCGAAATTTAATTTGTTAGCAGTTAAGTTCAAAATTGATTGTCGAATTTGCCCTTTTGCTACTGCTTGTGTGAGTGGGAGTGAGAGAAAGAAAAGGTTCGTTACCATAAAATGGAATTTTGCTTATAACATCTCATTTAACAGTACCAATTTTAAAACAAGCATGTAATGATTTACCCTGTACTGCCAATGTCAATTTTATTTAATGTCAACATTAAGAGATGTAATGACACCTATTATAAATTTATAATAGGTAATGATTTATTATATGTAATAGATTTGACCTATTATAAGTAATAGTTTTATTAAACTAAATTTAAAAAATATATATTATATTTTACTCGTAACACAGGATCTTTTACTCGTAAAAACGATGACAACATTTTAAAGAAAAATTAAACTTATCATCAGAGTTAAGCATAGTTTTCTATGCAGCATTTTATTTTGTGACTCAGTTTCGTAATGTAATAAGTGCGTGGGACTGCTCAAAAGAATCGGTTTGTAATTTGACGAACCTTTTCATTTCCCAACTGTACATTCCACTTTTACTAAGTAATTTGTTGCGCGAGTGCCCTGCTTATTAAGTTCTTATTTAATGCCTTTCTGTGTTAAGTGCTGAAATTCTATCAGATTTGTTTCAGTTACATTGTTAGAATCACTAATCATTTATTTTCAGATGACGTCACAACAGAGTTATCTTGCGATGAGCGTTTGAAAGTGATAACGGTGTTAGCGTCCCGTAGTTCACGCGTCCGTACACCGTTGCCAACTGGACTACGCACGGAACATTCCCTAGTCGACCTCCCACCTTTGATGCAGAACGAACCATCCATAGAGATAGTGGCGGTTCTAGATCCAGCTTCGAACGCCGCACAAAGACTTGCGCCTCTATTACTGGTATTAAGGAAAGTGGTCAACTGTCGCGTGAAATTGTTCCTCAACCCTCAAGACAAGAACTCCGATATGCCTCTGAAGAGTTTCTATCGTTATGTTTTGGAGCCAGAGTTGCAGTTCACCTCGTCTGGTGCTTTGACTGGTGGTGCTATGGCGCGGTTCTCGCGTTTGCCGCATGCTCCACTCTTGTCTATGGAATTGCGCACTCCAGCCAATTGGCTAGTGGAATGTGTCAAGTCTGTATACGATCTGGATAATATACGTCTGGCAGACGTTGAAACTGTCGTGCATAGGTGAGTGACTTTTTATTAAAATTTGATTGTATATTGTTTGAAAGGTAATCATAAAAAGAGGTAAAGCCAAATTTACATTTGCTTTAGAGCCAACACACATATGTCAATAAGCAGCATAGACTATTCAGTACCAAACCGTTATCGTCTTTCTATTTAAAATCGAAGCAGGCTCGCGTATCCGCTCGCTGTCTCGCATAGTTGATTCGCCTAATATATGTAACGTTAGGAAAATTCAGTTCATGAGATAACTTGCTGACATCATCTGTACAGTGCATTTGAATGACTCGACACAATTCTATGTTTTGCGATTTATTTTATAATCTGTTTTATCTTTATCGCTTGTGTAGGCTGCAGTAGTAATGTTCTTGAAGACTTTAATCGATTTGGAACGTTATTTTATTGAGTTTAAAGTTGGAAACTGCAGAACTTGTTATTTTGTGGTAACTAGTTGAGTGCGAAGTTTCGATTCCCGGTCGGAATAACGTAGAAAATTAACCCGAGTAGAAAAGAAAAGTAATACAAGGGTTTTAGCTACTTATTTTGGAATCTGAGCAATAGATATAATGTCTAATATTTGTTTATATTGTTCAATAGTGAGTTCGAGCTCGAATACTTGCTATTAGAAGGGCACGCGTGGGATACCAATTTGGGTACGCCCCCACGGGGACTGCAATTGGTGTTAGGCACCCGCGAGAAACCTGAAACTATGGACACAATTGTCATGGCCAATCTTGGCTACTTCCAGCTCAAAGCGAACCCTGGCGCTTGGATATTACGCCTGAGACCAGGACGCTCGGAAGAAATTTACGAGATTGTCGGGTATGTTGTTTAAATAATAGAAATAGGGATCATGACTAATTTTGGTTTGTTTGTCCGTCAGGTAGAGTGTTAAAAAATATTAAACACGTATTTTTTATTCTTTTCGTAATCATAAAATTACGGCGTTACATGGAGTTGAAATTTCGTATGACGTCACGTTATGGTACGTTTTCTACTCAACTGTGATGTAGCGAGCCCCCACTCCTCAACTTTAATGCCTGTTATCTAAGCTATTTCTTGTTAAATTGAAGTAAAAAAATACGTATCTAATATTTTTCTATTATCTGACTGACGGACTAAATAAAATTGCATTTTTTTTAACCAGTCGTCATCCCTATTCAAGGTTTAAGACGACTTCGGCCATTCCAAGTTAACTTATGGGAGGGGAGATATAGACCCGTCTTATTTTTCAGTATTTAATATAAATTAAAATGAGAAATATTTATATTGACATCAGTTATAAAGATTGATCACTTTTTGCTTTTTTCCAGCATGGTGTATGTATAATTTAATATTCACAATTATCTACATTATGACTTTAATCATAAATTTCTATGTTTTGTACTTTCGTTTGGAAATTAAAGTAGAGATGGAGGTAGGTAGGTATTGATACTTTTTCTCGATACCGTATCGGTCATGAGGTACCTACTTGTATCTAATAGTTTTAAAATGCCTTACAATCGTTTTCGCTTTTATAGACTTTTAGAGCATATTTGATACTATTCATAGCCAATAGCAATACTCTGTTTATGGAAGAAAGAGAAGCAGGTCCAGACTTAAAAAGTGATACATATAGTTAGGTCTTGCTTCAAAAGTTTATTGGCAGAGCCCTCTGTAGATAGATCTCCAACTACCATAAAATTAGTAGGGGTTAGCAATGCTTCAGTGACACCGCGTATGGGACTTTTTCATGTGACAGACTATTGATACCTTACCACAGAGTGAACAGTCTTATACATGCGAATTTTTTACTCTTCTCAGTGTGTGAGTGACCAAGTACCGATGCAAATATTTTATGATGCTATTTATTACTCTGTTCTAAAGTATCGATACCAAAAGAACTTGATATCGAAAAAGTATTGAGTAAGTAGTATTTGTTCATATTGTTTCATCCCTACATTAAAGTTCATTTTGTTTTGCAGACATGAGAACACAGACACACCCGCTGGCAGTGAAGATATTCATGTACTAATGAGCTCGTTCCGTAGCCATGTTATTAAGTTACGAGTGAGCAAGAAACCGGATAAACAACACTTAGAATTACTGGTGGAGAACGACGAAAAGAATTCCGGTGGAATTTGGAACTCTATCGCTAGGTAAGTAAAATTTACTAGGTAAGTAAAATATGAGTTTTTATATACGGTGAAAAGAGGCATCCTTAGTTTATTAAATGTTGTGTATCAGCTAGTGCCGTTTAAGCTTTAGGCGATGTTTTTTATTATCAGTGACAACTTGGTAAAATATTGAACTTAGTTTTTATAGTTTTGCGCTCATCTTAGTTTCCCCTAAGTTAGACATTCGTCTATTTATCAGTAACACAATTCTAAATTAGGAGTTTTTTTGCACTTTTTGTCTGATAAAATACGTTTTGAGGATAAAAAATTGGACTAATCTATAGAGCTTCAGCACTCTTTTGTTTTGATCCTTCGAGCTGGATAGTATTATTCGGGTATCTTATGAATCTTGTTACTAAATACACAACAACTATTTTATTTTATTAGTTCTTTCGGTGGCGGCGAGGATCAGGAAGCACAAGACGAGACTATCAACGTGTTCTCAGTAGCATCAGGGCACTTGTATGAGAGATTTTTACGCATCATGATGCTGTCTGTACTTAAACATACTAAGTCGCCGGTCAAGTTCTGGTTCCTCAAGAACTATCTCAGCCCTTCGCTCAAGGTAAGTATTCTAATATATCCTTAAAGACTTAAGTATAGCATCTGACTATAGAAATCACCACTTCTGGGGTTATTTACTTATAGAATACTGAAAAAACAGAGCTTTAACGACTAAAGTATGTAGGACCAAAGACATAAACTGCGAATAAATTAAGATAGTATATTTTTGGTCACCCAAAAACGTTTCTCTCTTTGTAAGCAAATCCGTTTTCGAAGACAGTTCGAACACCTGAGTGAATTTTAATTCGGATTAAATTTTTTACGGAATCACAGATCTGAAAGCGAAAAAAATGGTATAACACATCAGCTCTTTGTTACTTGCGAGTATTTCGGCTTTGGAAATAGGTCTTTCCAATAAATTCGTAGCGTAACGAACGAACAGAATTACTTAAGTGTGGATTTTGAATGCATTTTTTATATTACAGGATATATTACCGTACATGGCTCAGGAGTACGGTTTCCAGTACGAGTTGGTTCAGTACCAGTGGCCGCGCTGGTTGCAGCGGCAGCGCGACAGGCAGCGCACCATTTGGGGGTACAAGATTCTATTCCTCGACGTGCTGTTCCCGTTGCACGTCAAAAAGATTATATTCGTTGACGCCGATCAGGTAACTTGATATTTTTTAAAGACCTTTGAATAGTGTGGCTGCCCTACAGATAATTTAATTAAAAAAAAACTGCCTTTCTAACACCTTATTTGTCTCAACAATATTAGTAGAAACTGCCTTATTATTAGACAATTGACAGTGATCCAGGCGCCAGACTAAAATTATCTTATTATTTGTTATAAATTATAATACATCTATACTGAATTAATGTTGGAATTAATTCAGTATTCAAGTCTTGGGACTTGAATAAGAGATCATTGTTATAATAGCTCAAAATGTAACAATGTGTTCATTCTGAATGTCGATAATCGCCTTAATGTTAAGGTGAAAGGTGCAATTGTTAGAATGTCTCGACTTATACAGGGTTCTTTGTAAAACACCAGAAAATGATTTGCAACACCTCGCGGGACTATACAGCTTACATCATAAACAACAACGTTTAACTATGAATACTTTTAACAATTAATACAAATTTATTTTTCTATGAAAAATAAAATCCATCGTCGAAAGTCATAGAACTGGTGTTGCTATTTATAATGTAAACTGTCTAGTAACATAAAGCTGTTAATAGTTTGCAACTAACCCTGTATAAGCGTGTACCCATGTAATTACTGATCTCGTACTTGCAGCTGCTACAGTAACTTAGTAGTTAAGAATTCATTAGTTAAATCATTATGTGTATGCAGAATTTCTATGCTTGTTTAGATCGTACGAGCAGATTTGAAAGAGTTGGTGGAGTTAGATTTGGGCGGAGCACCGTACGGGTACACGCCTTTCTGTGACAGCAGGACGGAAATGGAAGGATTCAGGTACGATCATTACTGAAATTTTTTTTTTTTATCTTTATGTACATTCTCTTTTATTGTAGTTTAACATATTATTATTTTATTTGATATTGTAATTCTATTTTTTTTGTTGTTATTAAAGTTATATTATCTTTATTTTTGAAATTTTTAGTACTTAGCTATTACCTTAACTCAACAAGTCGTAACAGATAGAAGTTATGGCTCGTTAAATAGTTTAAGCAAACGTAGATAGTCTCCTAATTTTTGTTATTGTTGGAGAAAGCCCCGTTTGAAAGAAGAAGTCGAACTCTGCTTTTGCAGATGTGAACTTTATCTGATCGTTTATTACATAGATTGACTTCAGCCAACTTTTTATTTACCTATTTTTATCTAATAATACTAACCATAAAATGTTGACGTACATGTGGCACTGACACAGGTTCTGGAAGCAAGGTTACTGGCGTAACCACCTCCAGGGTCGCCGTTATCACATCAGCGCCCTATACGTGGTGGATCTGAAAAGATTCCGCCGAATAGCGGCCGGCGACAGATTGCGAGGGCAATACCAAGCACTCAGCCAGGACCCGAACAGTTTATCCAATTTAGGTGAGAGACACACATTCGAGTATAGTAAGTTTCAAATAATAGGGTATTCTAGTCTGTTAGGAATAATACGTGTAACTATTTATTTTAATAAACAAACACATTTTACTGCCTTAAAATTAGTTCAAAATTTTCATCAAACACATTATTGTACATATACACAAAACTTTAACTCTATGCGCGAAACAGATGAAAACTGAGGAAGATAAAAAGATGTCAATAAAACAAGAACAATGCCATCTAACGATCAATCACAGAATAACAAGATAAATCAGCTAAGAACAGCGCCATCAAGGAATTCGATTTATAATTAATAGGCATACCTTTATGACTAATTTAATAACTGTCATCACAATTGTGTTTTAAGTCACGCGACAAACAGACAAAAATAGGGAAAATTAATAAATCAAGTAGTTTAGTAATGGCATATAATCAATACGTACATACCTTTTAAATATTTTTTTGCTTATCTCTCTTTAAATAGTTTTTGAAATTAATAATACTACATTGTTATAGATCAAGACTTGCCCAACAACATGATCCATCAAGTAGCAATTAAGTCTCTACCACAGGAGTGGTTATGGTGTGAGACATGGTGCGATGAAGATTCCAAGAGATATGCAAAAACCATTGATTTGGTAAGTATATATTTATATGCCGCCTATGTTTCTATACAAAAGTGTTTTATTGTCTTTATTTATTTATTCCTATCGAACAATACAGTGTTATTATCTTATAACTTATATTAATGTAAAATTTTTGGAGTCGAGTCTGTTCTTTACTGTCAACGTCTAAAGGTTTATAAATTACTAGCTTTTCGCCAGCGGCTTTGCCCCCGTGGTCCATAGGGAACTATTTATTTGGATATTTATTTGGATTCATATGATGACACGGATATAATAGGGTATTCTACTCTGTTCGAAATAATACTTGTCACTGTTTATTTTAATTTAAAATAGCCATAAAACAAATGGCTTTTTCTTGCTTTAAACTTAAATCATTTTTTTTATACCAGCGAAAACGCTGTCTGTCTTATTCATGACGTCATTGTGATATGTATACAAAACAGATGCATAGAGTAGAAGATTAAAAGATTTTAATAAAACAAGAACAATGCCATTTAACGATCGATTACGATATAAATAGGTTAAGAACAATGCCATCTAGGAATTTGATTTATAATTAATGGATATATCTTTAAGAGTCGGATAACAGTCGCCATAGTGACGTCACCATGGCGGGTCGTGTTTCAAGTCACGTGACACACAGACATAAAAATCACGACTTTTATTTAAAAACTCAAAATAAGTACTTTAAATAAATTAAGATATTTTGACTTTGAAGGTATATTTTTGTTTGCAGTGCAACAATCCTATGACAAAAGAGGCTAAGTTATCGGCGGCGATGCGTATAGTGCCCGAGTGGCGCGAGTACGACGAAGAGGTGAAGGCGTTGCAGGCGCGTGTTAGAAGAGGACTGTACCAGGCCGCTGACCACGAACAGGTCATTATGCACTTTATTCGGCGGACTAAGGGACACTAAAATCACAATAATATAGTAAAGTTGAGAATGAATGCGAGAAGGGGGTGGGGGGTGGGAAGGTTGCAATATCAAGTTTCGATCCGGATCTGATTACAAAGAAGATAAATTAAGAGCTCGGCCTTAAAAAAATGTTACATTTATTTAACAATTAAATTTTTTTTGGTTACGATAATCGGTATGCATCATATATGCGTGATATGCGTGATCCTATATTGACTATGGAAGAATAAACTTTGTTCCCAAAGATTTACAATTCTTTCTCGTATTTATTATTTTACGGAAATTAGTAGCATATTATCTAGTAAGATATTATGTTACTATAATATAATATCTAGTAAAATATTATGCTACTAATAAAAATATAAAATAAAAATACGTTAACTTAGATTACTCGGTATCAAAAAAGATTCAGATAAATACAATAACCGTAATGAGTTAATGAATTTATGTTCGATTCTATCTACATAAAACACAATAAACACACTGCGTGCATACAATTATTATTCTATTGGTACCTGATGATTGTATACCATAAGATCGTGATTTACTCACCTTAAGGTAACGCTAGTCTGGTGCAGCCCTAATTGTTATTTAAATATTTAAAAAGCTATTTACTTTAACGTCTGTAACTGTTAATACTGATAACACTAGATTCATAATTTAACATAACGATAACTTGACTTTTTACACGCAGGAGGTGGATACAGGGCACGATGAAGTTACTGCAGCTAGTGAAAGTGCGGGTAAGTTATATTTTTTTATATATCTAGCCAATTACCACCTTTTAATTGAACAGAATGATACACAATGTAATTATTAAACAGTCGTGGTTGTTTTGGACATAATAATGAGGAAGTATTAAAAAAAAACATTAGTTCCCGAAATCAAACTAGAGGTCGCTACAATACTTTCTTGATTTCACCATGACAACCCTTCCGGTTTTCTTTCATGTATGAAAGTAAATATATTTTAAAAACTCAATAAACAACTCATATTCTATTTCTACACTTTCGTATTTATATTGATCTAAGTTTCAAACTTTGCAAATTTCAGGTTTTTAATATGTTGGTCAAAAACAGATTTTAATAATATTTTTTATATTTTATCTAATAATAATAATTAAAGCATAATTTTATCCTATATGATTGCTGCATATTTGGATGGGACAAGGGAATCAATTGTTAAAAAAAGTATGTTGGTTTACTGCTGCTGTATGTGGCAGCACTATGGCTAGTGTTGCCATCTACGCCTTGCCTTGCGTAATATTCCCTGTTTGGAGCCGTTCTCAATCAATATTTCATGTTTCTATAGGTATCAGATATTCAATCAAATAAGTTTTATGAGAGCTTATTTTTTGAAAAAGGAAAGAAAATGAATGTTAGAGACCATAAAAAGGACGTGTGTCTTTTCTATAATAATGTTTCAATTTCACTAGTAACCTTTATCTATAGTAGCAAAACCTATTCAGCATTACAATTCAGAGTAAAATATAACACGTTATATTTATTTATTACAGGTAAAGCACACCAAGACCACACCGAATTATGATGAACTAAAGTGATATATATAATCAATACTGTAGGCAGTGACGTTTATTCCAATTTTGTTAGTTTAATGATTCCTAATTTGTGGCTAGATGCTCAATAGTGACGGTTCGAGAGCGTTGTTCTAATATAAGGTATCGAGTGATAATTATATCGCATTTTTTTAAAGACTTGAGTCGTCTTAAATCTACTAACGCGGGAATTCGCTTCATAGTTATTGTAAAATATTGCCATTTCTTCTTTGAGACAGATTTATTCCATTTTTAAGTTCATCTAATATTATAAGTTTATTATCTATATATTGTATTGTACATTCTATTTGTACAATAATACGGTTCAGTATCGATAAACAAATCAATTATCTTGCACGTTCCCTCACTGCGACTCGATAGTCGTCACGAGTGCGTTGTGTATTTTTTATTCACAATGCGATCTCCTCTCCGTTAATAATACACTCTATTTCCACAGTTATATAGTTCAATATTGTAAAAACAAATAAATCAATATATAGCAAATCCCTCTTTCATTAGCTATTATGGAATTCAGAACTCAATTTCAATGGCAACAAAATAGTGTTTGTCTTAATATCTAAGAATAATCTACACCATAGTTATTATATAAATGAATTAAGCGCCTATATATACTAATAGAGTTTGAATTTTAATTACAATTTCAACAAAAAAAAAAAACGGTTTCCAGCTCTTTTCACACCATTTTGATTCTCCGTAATGATTTAACACAGCAGCACTTGGGTTATCACAAAATATCGGATTTAAATTATCTGCCTATGACCATAATATTATGGCATTAAGATAAAAAAATGAATTGAAAAAAACTGGCAGTTTTGTTTAACTTAATGTGCTGTTGACTGTACATTTGGTGCTTTGTGACATTATTATAAAAAATGATTTTTAAATAATTGTTACATTTTTTTGCATTGTCACTTCGCTAAAGACTGTTTATTGGTACTTATTAATAAAAGATGTAGGTTGTCATTGAATATTCCAGCCCTTTTGGATTATAGATCATTTGTAAGATCAATTCACAAAGTAGTTATATATCAAACAAGCTGTATATTGTATAGATTTCAAGTGCACATTCATATGTCAGTAGTTTTGAGTAAAAAAATATTTCATAATATATTTGTGAAAGGGAATTGTGATTTTTTTAGCTTATAAGTGAAATTTTACCTACCGATGTATTTTCTTTCGATAAGTGGTGTAGTACTAGTGATGTTTTATTTTTTTACTTCAATATTTCACTCGCTTATTTTCAAAACTTTGTATAATTCATAGTAAAATATGTATAAACAACCGATTGACATAAAGTGGAAACCCAAAATAACAGTTTAATATATGTATTCTCAAAATAGTACCACTGTACCAAAAATGAAATTATAATTCAGTTATGTCAAATTGATTTTCATGTAAATAAACAAATTAAGTATATATCTATCTTGTATTTTTATTGCCGCTAATAACAGGATGATTTAAAAAACAAACTACGTCTACTAAGTACGAATTTTATTTACAAAGAAATACAATATTAGAAATATAGACATGTATAATAATTTAATAGAATTAAATAAAATCTCGTGCTAATAAATTTATAACTTAATATTATTACGTAAAATTGTTATTTTCAATTCGTTATAATGACATACGGATATTAAAATTTTCTTTTTATTTTCTACCGTACAAGATTTTTGAGAAAATGTTCGAATAGAGTTAAATAAACAACTGTATCTTAATTATTTAGGCTAAGTTCGTATGACCGCGTGGTATATCTCAGCATATATTGTTTATATTTAACGCGTGGTAGTTAGATTATTATTATTTATTTTAAATTAATAATGAACTAAATCAAATACTTTTTGTCATCTTATTTCTATGTGCATTTTTTTCTTAATATAATTAATTAAAACGCGTAATTCCCAATATTGTATGACTAATATAAAAACAAGAGAATGTGGATTATGTTTTAAAATCAAATAAAATACCCCGTGCGCCCAGGACTGTTGTATTTTGTGCCACGCGGTAAAAGCTTTGACGTGTTACCGCGCAGTCATATTTTAGCCCAATTTAGTTATAAATTTGACATTGTCATAAATATATCATGAACAGCTTATATAGTTCCAATATTGTGTTTAAATAAAGAGGTTTATTAATTCTGCAATCTACGGAGTTATAACAATTTCGCTTATCGGAAACTTTGACAATTATTTATATACATTATAACCTACAAGGGACGTTAGGTATAAATTACGAAATAACTACATCTACTTATGTAATGAAAGCAAATATTTATAGCGTCAAATGTACTACAATAACAATATCTTTCAAACATTATTGTCATAATAATAGATTTTAAAATGGAGGAATGTAGCATTAAAGAAAGTAATTTCCTTCTAAGTACTGTCATGCGATTGTAATGCGATGCAATTGTAATTGTCATCAATTTCTACGTATATCTAAACTAGTGCCTTAATTATTTATAATAAAGATACCTACATATAATCAGATTTGTACAAGTAAAATATTAAAAAAACATCATTCAATAAATAAAGGAATGACTAGTTGCGTCGCTATAAAAATAATGATTTGGTGTAATCATTCTTTGGCATTCTAATCTGAATACAAAATAGTCTTGAAAGCACTTATGCGGTGGGGTGGTTTATTGGCACTAACCAAACAGGACTTAATCCATCACCAAACAATTAAATATTATTCATTACATAAAATCATTTTACACATGTTTTCAGATTGTGTTCTGTAATAAACTAGAACAGCCCTGCGATTCTGAAAAAATCCAAACCTCGAATCGAATTCACTCTATGTCCGAATTCACGCCATTTAGTGTAGAAATTCTATTGATTCCATTTTTTGTACAAAAATATAAAACATAATTAATTGAATATACGTGTCTCAGATATTCTATTCCTATGTCATTTCGAAACTCACTTCACTTATGCCACGAAACGTTATTACCAATTCAAGATTAAGCGGATGCCGCTTTTTGAAGTGAATTCGGACACCTGAGTGATTTCGAATTCGGGTTTGGATTTTACAGAATAGGAGGGCAGCTTTAAAACATTCAGTTCGATTCGCTGGACTATTTTTGAGTATTAAGATGCATGCTTATTATTACGTCATTACGAATTTGTGTAGTGAAACGTCTTAGCTGGTCGACGCGGCAGCACCAGTCGTCTTCAGTGATGAATAAACACGTCCATCTAGTCTAGATAATGGTGTCAACGGTGGATAATCAGTTACTGTAGTGATCCTCTATAAAATGCGACAGGGTTGGCAGTTGATTCGATAACGGCAGTGTATCAATCGTTTCGAGCGATGAATCTTCAGTAAGAGATCAATCATACTAGTACTTAGTAGTGGTAGTAATTCACTATGATCTTGTGATAAAGTTGGCAGTCGTTATTTACGGCCACAACTGGCACGAGTAATGGACCAGTCCCCCAAGTGAAAGTGAGATATTAGTAACAGCTGGGTTCCAACTGGCTGGAGCGATAAGTTCGTCTGCATTGTATTGTTAACGAAGTAATCGGTGGGAAACCAGTTGTAGTCTTCTTGTTTCAGTATCGACAGAGGATTGCTGGATGCCAGGTCCTCCCCCTCGCTTAAGCCTGTCCTTTCTTAACGGGTACGGGGTCGGACAGCCCTGGTTTAAGGCTTAAGTTGGTATTTTCGCTGCGTTAAAAAAGGATCGAAAGATGTGGAAATTGGTCCTGCAGCGGCTGTGCTCCAACTGGCTAGTGAAATGAGCACGTGGTCTACTGCGTTACGTTAAAGGAGTTTCGTTGATGGGGATTGTCTAAAAAGAGTTTAGTTACAGTAGTGATCCTCTGTGGTTAAGCGGCAAAGTTGACAGTCGACCCTACAACACCAGTGGTACCGGCAGCGGCATCGCTCCAGCCGACTGGAGCGTACAGCTCTACGTCCACGGCCACAGCACAGCCGCCCGCAGCCGCCCGGGCCGCTGCCCAAACTGGCGTTGCACTTCCTGAGAACAACGAATAAATACATATTTTTTCTGGTAGTGTTTGATATACTATTACCGGCAAACACACTTATGCGTATTAGATTTCTCTGGTCGGTGGTATAAAGGTGTTAAGTCAATTTTTGGTCAAAATGACTTATTTCAATAGAAACATGTAGAATTTTTTTTTTCGAATGGTACAATTAGCATAAGTCTACTAAGAATATAAATAGAGATATTAACTATTTTAGAATTCTATACATTTCCAGTCATTCTGTAGAAATTTTTGAAACTTTCTATTTGCTCTCCTGAAAAATTGATGGTTTTGACTTAACGCCTTTATACCGCCGACCAAAGATTTATAATATTGCTTAAAGTAAACATAAAAAACAAACATTTTTTTATCCGATGTCACGTGACCGCAAACGGTGTGTGACTTCACGCCCCTCTCACTTAGAACTAAGAGAATTAAACCTTATGCATACATAGTAAGATATTAGTTTGAGAGGAGCGTGGTGTCTTAGCCACGACATGACAGAAGTTGGTTTTTATCGGGAAATTTTGAAAATCAAAATTTATTTTTAGATTTTGACTTATTATATGAATGATACTTTTTGTAATAGATAATCACGTTGAGAATGACAATGTCACTAACCAAAAACGACGTATTTTTTACTTTTGGTAACATTTTCCTTTGTTAAGTATAAATTTTAAAATGCAAAGATCCCTGTAAACGTAGCTTGCATAGAAACTGCTAGGTGGCGTAGTGACGATACGTTGTTTAGAGGGGCTGCTTACAATTTCTTGAACTTTAAACGCTCATTACCAAAATCGCATTTTTTGCATTGTGTTACTATCGTCCTCAACGTACGATATATTCCATGCATATCTATAATATATAAATCTATAAAATATAAATATAAAAAAAGGTTGTCTACACCTCATTACATTAATTCGAGGTCATTTCATTACTTATATGCGATGCAAGCTGACTAAGCAACTTTCGGATCATCGATAACATTATAAAGAAAGTTCGATGATTTGCATAGAAGAGACTGAAACTACTGGACAGATTAAAAAAAACCTACGGGAAGCTACGATACGCGGGTGACATAGACAATAATTTACGCGGCAAAACAACTAGTAATTATAAAATGTAGTCTAAAGTCAACACAGCCTTTGTTTGAATTTTCTTCTATTATTTTATTACGCACGTACAATAATATTTATTTAAGCGTACACAAATGCCATAATCTCAATTGTCTTTGCTTACAATATGACAATAGGGATGATGCCTGGGTAAAAAAAGAAATATTATAATCCGCCAGTAGCGTTGTGTTACTCACTCTTTTTTAATGAGGATGTGTGAGTACCTCGTTTTCCCTCGTGAGGGGCTCGCGAGTTACCCCTCATTTGAGGTGAGGATAGGTAATGTTATAGTAGCAGTGGATGAGTACGTAGCGAGGCGCGCGCAACATTGCCGTTTGGTACAAAATGAGGGAGGGAGTCGGTAATGCTAAACAAAACATATTTTGTCTTTAGATTCTAAGAAATAAACTTTATTAGATTATTATTTAACAGAATGACCACAACACGCAACTTATTTGCAATAGTGTCAAATGTTCCATTTTTAAAATCGATCAATCCTTTATATTTCGAATCATATAAATATACCTATTTCTAAATAAAACCGATACATTTTTATTAACTTTGATTTTTACTTAGACTAATTAATATCATTTATCTATAAAATATTAAATACGTATTTCCGAAGAAACACATAAACAAACCTGAATCGTTCCAAAAAACTCATAAAACTTAACCCATTCCCTCAATCTTGAATATATTGAGTAAGTATCGAGTCGCCTTTTCATTCAAAACAACTCGCTATTTAGCTCCTCACTCGAAAAGTGAGGAGCTTAATGAGGTGGTTCAAAATTGAAAAACGAGTAGGTACTCCCTCATTTTGTCGAAATGAGGAACTCAAACGAGGCACCTCGCGAGTGAGGGGCTCATCACTATCCGCCAGTCAGTTAACAGAAAAATAAAGTACGTATTTTTTGCTTCAATTTAAAAAGCAATTGCTTAGATAATAGACATTAAATTTGAGAAGTGGCGGCTCGCGATGTCACAATTATGTAGAAAATGTACAAAGGCGTGACATCATTTGACATTTCAACTCGATGTATCGCAACAACAACAAAAAAAATAGTCATCACCCTATTGTCTTAACCTGTCAAACGTCGCCGTAAATTTGTTTATTTTATTAAGTCCTTCGCTTATTCTGTGCGGAGAAAAATCCAGCAAACAAAAATGAATTCTCGAGACTTGACTTAAAAAAAGTAATGCAGTGAACGGTCACGCAGTATGCTCATTATAAAAAGTGTGACATACCGGCCGTGAGTGCCCAGTGAGCCGGCAGCGGTATCGGGCTCGCAGTAATCAGGGCTAGGGGTGACGTATCGCAGGCGCGGCTTGGCGTGGCGGGCGACGTGCCTGCGCGGACGCAGGGGGCCCGCGCGGGGCGCCTCCGCCGCTAGCGTGGCCGCCACGCGCGCTAGAGGCGGCAACGCACGCCAACAAGTGCGCACCGAACATGAACCCGATACGCCGTGGCATGTGCACTTTGTTCGCATCCCGCTCGACACCACCTGAAGAACAGAAAAGTACAGGTTTAATTTAGCAGGTGTGGAGAGTAACCAAAAATAAATATTTTTTTTTCTTAGACTTAAAGAATTCAACCTTATGCATACATAGAACTATAATCGTGTCAGAGCGCCGTGACGTTATAGCTCATGGCGTATGACAGAAGGGGGTTTAGGCGGGATTTTATTTTTTAGATTTTAATTTAGCAAATTAATGATTTTTTTTTAGATATATTTCATGTATATCAATAAAATTAAAATATAAAAAGTTGTCTACACCCCTGTTGTTGTTACGTACTGGCCAGCAGTCTGTGAGTAGTGTTGCCCAAATTCAGTCTTGGTCTTGCATTTTTGCAAGATCAAGACCAAGAACAAGACCGCGTATTTTTAGCAAGACCAAGACCAAGACTGACCATGCAAGACTTGAGCAAGAACAAGACTAATCCCGCAAGACTCTTGCGTCTTGCAGCTAGGACTTAGCGCTATTTCACGGAGTAGTTAGGAATAACAGTTCGGTGTATAATAACACTTCAGGCTTAAGGAAACATCTAATATCTTTCCACAAAAAGGAATCACAAATATTTCTTCCTGTTAAACCAAAATTAAGCGGAGATATCGCAAGCTTTTTCGTAACTGCTGGAAGAAGTGGACAGGTAAGAATAAATTTACTTATCTCACAATTACATAACACATATTAAGTATGTAATTATCGTGTTAAATATTTTTTATAAAGCACCCATATTTTCATTTGTTTTCATAATCGGCCTGTAACAACTAAGTACTTTATTTTGGTAAATTACAGTACAACTTTAGATTTAACAACAACAAACCTCCTCCTCCTAAACGCTCAAACCTAGTATGTTTTAAATAATAACACAAGATTTATTGTTTTATTTAAGTCGGAAAACAGTAGTGACAAGGTCCACACTTAGAAGGAAAGTCAAAGAGCGATTTCAAGAGCTCCAATTGAATCTCAAGGAACGACTTCAACAATTATCATCTAAAATGTCATTTACCATTGATGGGTGGACGTCAATTGCTGGCAGGAGTTACTACGGGGTTACTATGCATTATATAGACAACGAATGGAAGTATCGATCTGTAGTTCTTGATTTTATACCATCACGCGGTCGACATACTGGGCAAGATATTGCAACGATTTTCCACGAATGTTTATTGGAATATGACATAATTGATAAAATACAAGGTATCACGGTCGACAACGCAACTGCAAATACTAAATTTATGTATGAACTAGGCAAACAGCTGCCACCACACTTTGATTCAGACAATCAACATTTCCGGTGCTTTGCTCACATTTTAAACCTTGGTGTACAAGATTTATTAAAGACCTTAGCATTACACTGTGAGACTGACACTAACGCGCAAGATCAGCAGTATGAAGACTATGCAGACGAAACTGAGGAAGATGAAGAATATGCACCAAATATTGCTAACTCGCGTACATCTGTAACAAAGTTACGCAGTATTTCCAGCAAAATAAAAAGAAGTGAAATAGTGAAGAAGAAGTTTCAGTCTGCTTGTGAAGCAGCTGGCGTGCCATCAAATCTGAATCCCATTCTTGACTGTCCAACGAGATGGAATTCCACACATGATATGATTGGATTTGGTTTAAAAGTGAGAGCGGGCATTAACATATTGTGCAGTTCTGTCACCGAATTGAATGATTTTCAAATCACAGCTAGTGAATGGCAAATACTCGAAAAAATACATAAGTTTCTAATAAACTTTAAACTTTTAATATACAAAACTTGGTGGAGAAAAATATGTTACATCACCGCTAGTCATTGTATCATTCAATCTCTTGCTCGATAAAATTGAATCCATGGTAAAACAGTTAGATGAGAAACCTAATCGATCTGAAGTGGATGAAAGGCTCATTCTGGCTTTCCAAGCAGCTCGAGATAAAATGCTTAAACATTATAAGAAGAGCAACTGGATTTATTGTACTTCTTTAATTTTAGACCCAAGGCTAAGGGTCAGACTTTTGACCTGACAATATGGGGGAAGCAACTTAAAACAGAAAGCCTGCGCAAGTTCAATGAACTTTATGAAGAATACTACAGTCTACACTCACTGAACAAATCTCTGGAATTACCAAGAAAAGAAAATAAGGTATGTGATGAAGATGAAGACGTAATTGATAAACTGTATGAATGTCCCTCGACGTCATCTGGATCTTGTCTTCAAGGCTTAGTGATAGACAAGTTGGAGGAGTACCTGAGAAAACCAAGAGCTGCCAGCTCGGAAGACATTTTAGATTGGTGGACGACGCATGGAGACAGAGTATCCGACTTTATCGAAGATGGCCCGTAATTTTCTCTTAATACCTGCAACTTCAGTACCTGCTGAGAGATTATTTTCTAAAGCATCATTAGTAATTAGAAAACATAGAAATAGGTTAAGTGATGAGTCAGCCAGATGGTTACTTTGTATTAATTCTTGGTCAAAAGAATTGATATAAAGTAACAGAACCTAATGACAAAGCTGTTGTGTACTATTGTGTTATTTGATTTGTGTTGTATTTTATTTTTTATTGAAATAAATAATAAATCGTAAACCTCTTTAATTAAATTTCATATAAGCTGAGGGTTCAATCTCTTTTTAGAGAGATTCTTTAAAATACAGTCAATTTATTATAAATAACTTGTTTTTTACATGTTTTAGCACATGTAAGCTTATAAAGCGTAAATGTTTATTAAGAAACAGTTACTCCCATGGAAAACGGCGTATAGCTCAGTTGATAACCATGTGGCAGTAATCAAATTTTTTATCAAATCTTCAGACATTTATTAATCTGATTGTTCTTTACTACGGCTATGTTAATTCCTAAGATCTAAAGTAAACTTTAATAAATAGCAATAGTCTAATAGGTAATTGCAAGACTTGCAAGACTCTTGCTGCAAGACCAAGACCAAGATCAAGACTGGGAGTGCAAGACCAAGACCAAGACCAAGACCAGGTGTATTGGCGCAAGACCAAGACCAAGACTGGCCAAGTCTCGTCTTGTTCTTGCATTTGGGCAACACTATCTTTGAGATATAGCATTTTTGATGACATGTTATTCTCCTTGTTCATTTGGCATTTTTCTTTTGCTGTTAACTGCGTTAGTTGTGTATTTTGGTTTATATATATTTTAATTATCAATATTATATTATTTCCTTAACTTTGAACTCTTCTTTTGTTGCAACTTCTATTACAACTACCTATCCGTTACAATGTACAATGACGTACAACATAACCCAATCAAATTAACATGGAAAGGTGTGTAATATCGGAATGAGAAATAATAAGCTCGTGCTCGTACAAATTGATTTTGGTGTTCTAAATGTGTTCACAAAATGTCGTGTCTGCGTCGTGAGTTATTCAGGGTCAAAAGTTTAAGTTAAAGCAAAAGTTTAATAACTTTTTGAACTTAAACTAGACTTACGGTCAATTGCACAGAAGTTCATTAATGTTTAATGACGCCATTAAACTCTAATGAATGTCGTATAGTATATGTATGGGTAATGTCGTTTTAACCTTTTTTTTACTAATTGAAGGACGTTTGTGCAACTGGCTGTAAATATTGATTGAAAAATATTAATTATTTTACTAAAAAACTTGTAATAACCAATTTTCCAGCATTACACTGGAAAAGTGGTTATGTAATAATTAAAAGATCTAACCTTTCTTCCGAAGCGTCCGTTGAGTAGATTAGCGGAAGCGATTAACGGGCGTAGCTGTTCGAGTCGCGTGCGTAGGTCAACTTGTGGATCAAAGCGCGGGTCGTCCGCCGCCATGCGGTATTCGATATTACGGTAACGAGATCCTCTGTCTTCATATTGGTATCTGTTAAATGTGTACCAAATTATTAATAATGTAGATAACGAATCAACGCTGAGCAATTTAATAAAAAACGATCAAAAAAAAAACCACGTCTATTGTATGGGAGCTTCCTTAAATATTTATTTAATTATGTTTTTTTTTTGTTTTCTATTGCCGCTATTCCAGAAATACATCATCTATCGAAATTTCAACTGTTTAATTATCACGGTTCTTGAAATATAGCCTGGTGACAGACATCTATATAGACAATACATAGACAGCTGATCCTATCTGTCTGTCCGTCTTAGTGGTTCAGGGTCAAACCCATTTGGGTATGACCCTGAAACATCAAGCTTCAACGAATGAACAGATTGTGCGTTGGGTTTTTGGTTGCGAAGTTTAAGCAATTTGGCAAGGTTCAGTAATATGAGTTATAAAGAATTTATAATCTTGAATTCCTCCGTGCGTGCGTCGGAATGCTCGTTAATAAACCGTATAATCAGGATGCACTATAGTCAATAGTGACCAGCGATATGCGTTGTGGGCTCGCGTGATGGGTTATGGCTGGTGTTCCATTGAAAAGGGTTTTCCTTAGCAACATTAATAGGCTGACAATATTTTAAGTTTTATTTGTTACCTTGATCTGAACCGCTTTCTTGTAGGCCGGCCGCGTCGTGGTGATCTCGGCAGGCGTTTCCTACCCTTTCTCCCTTTTCTGCCACTCTTAGGCGGAGCAGTGATATTTGCGGGAGCCGGTTGATCATCAACTAAGATCACGACAGGAGCAGCGGTCGTAGATTCGGCTGGGACAGTCGTCGTCGTTGGTTCGATTGTCGTTGTGTCCATTTCCAAAAAATCTTCAACCTTTCCATCTCTAACATCTATCTCGTGGACATCTAAAAATTGCTTGGCGAATCTGAAAAACGAATGTGAAAGTTATTTAAATTATGTATTAAATCATGAAACCTGACACACGATTCCTAAAAAGAGGATGTTGAACAAATCTGTTCAATAAGTATATACTACTGACCTCTCTGCCCACTGATAGTTGTCACCACAGCCGCCCCACTTGAAACGAGCGTGAGGCTCAGCGGGTGTAAGCTGTGCCTGCCGCGGGGGGCGAGGGGGCGCGCGGGGTGGCGCTGCGCAAGAACATGCCGGTAGTGAACCAGCAGCGCACGCTCTCGCCACTGACCACACTAGCGCAGCCGCTGACATCGCATATACGTACGCTTGCTCTCGTGTACCTATAACATGATGTGAAATAAAACATTTCTCATAAAAGAAGCAGATTCGTCAATATTAAGTTGATATTTTTGTTTTGTATACGATAATAGCATAAAAAGAAAATATTAATAAATATTTTTTACTAAAACGAAAGAAACAAGTCCAGTAGTTTAGAATTCTGTTAAGTGATACTAAATAACTACACAACTGAGATAGTTTTTATAATCGATACACACATAAAACAAATCATAAATTTTAATGCAGAACAGTTATTTAGTATTACTTAACAGAATTCTAAACTACTGGGCTTGTTTATTTATTTATTTTTTTATTGAAGTTAATTTATTCATGTATTTTTTAAAATTCGTTTTTACGCAGTCGGCTTATTTGTTTTTCTTTAAATTATTTTTTACTTTTTAGTTACGATTCGTTGACTTCGTTATAAGATGGTAAATTTCGCAATCTAGTCATTTCATTGAGGGAGTTAATATCGTTTGTTAAACAACTTTAAATCGTTATATATTCTAAACTATTATTTAAAATGAAAAATGATAACAGGAACCTAAAAATGATTTTAAAATACCTATTCAACGACATCCCACTTGACATAGTTCATCGATATTTTTTCATTTTGACAATAGACGTCTGGTTGTCGCTGTGGTGAATTTTGATTACTGTCGTGTCTTTAGTGACACTTGCTAGGTTAAGACGAATCATTTGACGTAAGAATCATCAAAATTGGCCTACGCATTTGGTCTCTAGAACGCCACATAGAAACAAACGTACATAGATAGACTGATAAACACATTACCCTCCTTTGCGTCGCGCAGTCGGGTAAAAAATAAAATCGTTGACTTGTGGGGTAATAGCATTGATGTTTTCAAATCGGTAATTGAGTCAATAGCTCCAATGCTAGCTTATTTATATGACTAATGTATTGACTGTGATATTTTTCGTAATCTCATGTCGCACAGTAAAATTGTTCCATTGTATAATACGATTAGAAACTCTTAACTCTAGACCTATTTCTTTATTATCTACATATAGCACGATTCTATATTATGTTAAGAACATAATATACCGCATAAATGAAAAGTTTTTTTTACAATAATAATCTGGTGAATCTTCAACAGTTTGGACAAGGGGTCGCTCAACAACTGAAGCCAGTATTGAGTTGAATTGTTATTGCAACATATTTTTGATGCCTGGATGAATTCACATGACGCTTTAGGTGTTTTTTGTGACCTATCTCTAAGCCTTTTGATTATGTTTTTCATTATTCATTAATAAAGAAACTTCATGTCATGGATTCAGAGATAGATAACTTATTGAATTTTCTTCTTCTTCTTCTTCTTCTTTTATTAATGGCTTATCTGCGCATTTCGCACAATTCTGCCAATGTCAAGTAAATAAATTAATTTCTACATGTAAAATGAAAATGAAATGAATGAAAGATGGCGATGGATTTCCTTATTGGATTTTAGTATCTCATATTTGAGTGACAGAGTGTAAAGGGGTGACAACTGGACATTGATGGCAATAGATTCCCTATATCGACATTTAAATGTTCTACAGGGGTCAATCCAAGGACCAACTCCTTATTTGTTTTTGATTTGTATAAATGATTTGCCTTAAGGACAAAGCCGGATTAACCCAGTCAAGGACCTATATTCTTCAGCGACAAAAAGTTCAAGTCTGAAAGCTAGCTACTATTTAATTTTATCACAAGAGCTATGAGTTCACCTAAATTTATTTTTAGAAGGATTTGTGTGTATACTATATCGAGGCAGTCGTGTCTTAGTTTATTAAATGTTTTTTAACGATTTACGAATGCCAAACTAAGAGCATAAAAATTATTTGTGTTATCCTCACCATTCTTCTCGTACCCATATTTTTAGAATCAATAGGATTCTAAACAACAATAAAACACTAACTAATAGGGATGTAGACAACTTTTTTAATTTTTATTTTATAGACATACATGAAATATATTTAAAAAAAAACATTCATATAATAAGTTAAAACCTAAAAATAAATTTATAGCTTCGAATTTCCCGCGAACCCAAATTCCGCTTTTGTCATGGCGTTGTTATGACGTCACGGCCCTCTAAAACTAATATCGTTTTATGTTATCTAAGTAAGAAGGGAGTGACGTCACGAGCCCACGTGAAAATGATCATAAAATATTTGTTTTTTTTATAATTAATTTAGGCAATATTATAAATATGATAGGCATAAAAGTGCGATTATCGGTAATAAATAATATATTACCAGAAAAAAAATATATGTATGTATTATTTTAGTTTATTGTTTACACCCGTATTTTACATAATGCGACAACTATGAATTTCAAATATCATTATGAATTCTATTGACTGAGCTAAATTTAAACTATATAGCATGGTTCAAGGTTTCATTATTAAATAAACAATGGATTGGTTCAAAACATACACAACATAAACACTCTTTCTTGTGTCTGGCGGAATATTACCTATAGGAATATCGACAATATATTGCGTGTCAATATGTCTAAATCGAGTATCTCGATGACATTATTTAGTGCGTTTAGTTTATAGTGAGAAATTATGAAATTAAAGTCTATTGAGAAAAGTTCGCAAGAGCAGGTCATGGGTAAGCAATAATTTATTGTCCTGAGCTCCTCTGTTACGGAAGGCACGTTAAGCCATTGGTTCTGTCTGACTGTATCTTCAGTCGGTATACATCCATAAGGTGGTTGGTGAAGACGATGATGATAATTATGAGTTTAATGTCTTTGCAGTTATCTATTAAGGGGCAAGAGAAGTAAGTATATTCGGGGAAATAAAATAACGTACCCACTTTGATGTCCGAGAGCAGAAGCCAAAAGAGATGCGATCTATTATAATTGCTAATAATCTATCCGTGTAATCGCGATAGAGCCCGCACGGTTCTCAAACTGTGGGACAATAGCAAGCAGGCTTATCATTCGACCAGCATCCCGCGCGGGTGCACCGTTCACGTTATCGGTTACATCTCTCCCCCCACCCTAACGCACCGCCCTAAACTACCCCCTCCACGCTTGATTCATGCGTGTAATTAAATCTTTTGTCCGTCTCGCTGTAGCTTCAACCCTCGCCACTGATCGCATTGTAAGCAAGACTTTGGTAGCCTTCACAATTTAACGAAAGATAACATTTCACAAGAAAAGTTTCGTCGCATCAATAAGGATTTGCGGATTGATTTACGTTTTTCTATTTCGAGATGGAAAGCAATTATATCTTATTGTTCAAGGGCTTAACTAGCGGTTCCAATTTTCTAAGTTTAGTTTTATTTACAACTAGCTGACCCGACAGACTTCGTCCTGTCAAAAAGATTTGTAATGTGGCAGTTTTTTTGCCTACGTATTTAAAAAAATTCTCCTGAACAGAACCGTCACCCTGGTGATAGGGCGTTGTGAATAAAAAATAATTAAATAAAACATATATAAGGATTTAAAAGTAAGTAATCGCTTTATTGTTAATCATGTGAATCATAATTATTATTGCAATGTATTAATAGTAATAGTATTAAATATAGAAAAAAGAGATTTTTATGATCATAAAAACACATTACACACAACAGCATTATAAAAGTAAACTATTCGAATTAAAAAAATATATAAACATTCTCAAGGAAAAATGCTGGAAGAATCCATCTACCTGTACCCCGGAATGGGACTCGAACCCATTCGCGATCCAGGGACTGCTCTAACCAATGAGCTATCTAGGACCCAACAGCTTTGCTACTACAGAGCGTATTTTCATCAATGTTCCGGCAATACATGTAATGACGTGGAAACTGATGCATTTTATCTCGCGTGCCGAAACTAATACAAAAGAAACGCGAGTTTCGGAACGCGACATTAAACTCCTCCAACTATGTATTCTGTGCTCCAACGCACACACGCACATTGTTTTGATAGATATGATCTTTGACGTTAGGAACACACCTACATTGCTTAGACAACAGTGAGTGCTTGTAATTTAATATGAACTTTATACCATAGCAATAAAGCTCAAATTGACTACGTTTTAGTTACAAATCATTTGTATGGGAAAAAGAAAAGGGCTATTTTTAGGGTTTTTCCAGCAATAATTCTATTTTTTCTCGCCGTAAAAACCATCCTTGAACTTCAACGAACATTTTAAAAAAAGATTTGGCCAAATTGGTCGAGGCGTTGTTGAGTTATGCGCTTACCAACACATTTTGCGATTCATTTTTATATATATAGACTAGCTTTCGCTTGGTTGCCCCGGGCTGCGAGCAGCCCGGGGAGGTAACGAGTAGCTAGTGGAATCGGGGCGGTGGGGTTGTAAGTCCGCCTCTTGTTATGTTGGGTTTACAGTTTGAAATTGCCTAGAAAAAGTCAGTAAGTTCTATCTTCAAATAAAAGGTGTTAAAGGACACAAAGCACCATACATCAAAGAAAAAGTATTGCCAGTTGACACTTAACAGAAAAGAAATATTCAGTCGAAAAATGCAAGGAAAACTTAAAATAAATTTTGGATAGATACTTCAAATAAGTTTTGTCTTTTATTCTCTTATTCTTATTTATTAGTAAATTACTTTATAGTATTAAAAAACAATCGAACATATATTTCCATCAGTATTACTATCATTAATTAATCAATTTAATGTCAAGAAATAGTATTTATTGTATTTGCATTATTACATTACATTATTTATGTAAGATTTATTTATTGTATGAGAAGGGAACCGATGTCGTGGCCAGATATTAGATCGATTCATAATGCGGTAGGGTTTTAAGTCCGCATTTGAGTTTTTCGATTTTTTTTGTTGTTTGTTTTATAGTTTGAAATCGCCTTCAAAAAGTTAGTAAGTTCTGTCTTCAAATGAAAGGTGTTTAAGCACCATACATCAAAGAAAAAGGGTTGCCAGTTAACGCTTAACAGAAAAAGAAATATTCAGTCTAAAGACGCAAGCAAAACTCGAAATAAATTATAGTCTCTTAATTAAAATATATTTTAAGTATTAAATATAG